TAAAAAAAAAAAAAAAAAAAAAAAAAAAAAAAGGAGCTGAAAAAGAACCAAGGACAGAGCAAAGTGGTTAGAGAGAGAGAGAATTCACTTGTTGGGTGCTTTATCTTTCTTCTTCTTCCTCTCCTTCTTTTTCAGCTTCGGCGTGCTGAAGAAGACGCATAGAAGGAATCAACAGTGAAAAGAAAAGTCATCATCCAGTGACAGATTCCTCCATCTCGACGGGAGAGGGGCAATTCGGTCATTTCCGTGCCGGGCTTCGGCTGCCACTTCCCATCAGGCGGAGGTCTCTCTCACCCGCGGCAGAGATTCGCCGCCGAAGATGTTTTCCATGGAGGAATGCCCTTGCTTCCTGTGATTCTCCTTTGATCGCTGCGTAGCATGCTGGAGATTTTTTTCGTGGGTATTTTGGATGATTTGATTTCGTGGATTTGAGTTTGAGATTAGATGAAATCATGAAAGCTTTGCGGCGAAGCTACACCTCTACGTCTTCCGCGAATCCGACGTCGTCGTCTTCTTCTTCTTCTTCACCGTCGTTGTCTTCCTCTTCTTCTTCTTGGATCCATCTCCGATCGGTTCTATTCGTAGCGAATCCTTCATCCCCATCTTCGACCTCTTCGTCCGATCGGTGAGTGTCACTGGTCCAGACAGACGAACTTTTCAGCAGAAGTCGTTAGATTTCGATTCGCAGATCCGATCTTAAGCTTCTTTCGAGTGCCCTTTTAGTTATTTGCTCGTGTTCATCCAATGAATTAGCTTAATTGATGCTCAAGCACCGTGATTTATTATCAATCTCATGTAAAGTTTGCCTCTTTCCTCGCTTAGTCATCTTTTCTATGTTGGTTGTCTCATGTGCAGGAGCCGGTCGAAATCTCCGTGGTCTCGCCGGAAAAGGAAATGGGCACTCACGCCGCAGCAGTGGAAGAGTTTGTTTACGCCGGAGGGCAAACTCCGTGATGGCGGGGTTGGATTCCTTAAGAAAGTTCGAAGTAGAGTGAGTTTTGGCCTTTTGCCCATCTCTTGTCTCTATGATCTAATCTCTCTGGTCTGTGTTTCTGAAATGATTCGTCATGTTGTCTTCGATGTAGGGTGTTGATCCCAGTATCCGACCAGAGGTTTGGCTGTTCCTACTCGGAGTGTGAGTATTCTGCCGCTGCGATTTCTCCGTTTTCGTTTTCGGTTCCGTATTTTCGGTATGTCGTTCTAAATAATGGCCCTTTCCTCTCTTTTATGGCAGGTATGACTTGAATAGTTCCAGTGAAGAAAGAGAGGTGGCGAGAACTGAGAAAAGGTTAAGAAACGGAGCTTAGTCCGGTCTTGTTCGTATAATGCTGGTTCAGATGTTATTTTCCGTCATGTCTGAAAGTTCGTGTTGGTCTGTGAACGCAGGAAGGAGTATGAAAAACTGCAGAGACAGTGCCGGAAGCTTCTGAACTCCGGCAATGGGAATTCATCTGATGATGGCGATGGCTGCAGCCCCACAGATGCCATCAGTTTCACAGAGTCACCCTTTGGAGAGATGAACAGCCATAGCATTGGATTCGTTGATGCAGATATCTCAGCACCGAATTCCGAGTCATCTGATTCAGATTCCTTTGAAGATCCCGAAATCTTTCTGCTATTCCCATCTTTCAAGTTCAGCCACGAGAAAGACGAATATAACAGTCCCAGTCCCATCGAGAATAATCCTACTCCAGCTACTGAAATCCATTAAAAGTGTACGACTTTTGGATTATTACCACCAGGAATCTGCCATTACCTGCAACTGTGTCGATATGGGTTTTGCTTCTTCTTCTTCTTCTTCTTCAATGAAACAGAAAACGCTCTTCGTGCAGATTCCGAGTGGGCGACATACTCTCCCTACGCTTCCGCAGTTACCGAAACCAGAGCTCACCGTTCAGCCAAGTCTGTCGGGTTAAAAGACTATGATCATCACATAGAACCATGCAGGCTTTTTCACGCCGCACGGCTCGTTGCTATCCTTGAAGCCTATGCACTGTACGACCCGGAGATCGGGTACTGCCAGGGAATGAGCGATCTGCTCTCCCCGATCCTCGCAGTGATCACCGAAGATCATGAGGCTTTCTGGTGCTTCGTGGGTTTCATGAAGAAGGCTCGACATAATTTCAGGCTCGACGAGGCAGGGATCCAAAGGCAGCTGAATATCGTATCGAGAATCATCAAATACAAGGATTCACAGCTTTACAAGCACTTGGAGAATCTCCAGGCCGAAGATTGCAGCTTTGTTTACAGGATGGTATTGGTGATGTTCAGAAGGGAACTGACTTTCGAGCAGACACTCTGTCTCTGGGAAGTGATGTGGGCAGATCAAGCCGCCATTAGAGCTGGGGTTGGTGGAAAATCGCCATGGAGCAGAATCAGACAACAAGCTCCACCCACCGATGATCTGTTGCTATATGCCATTGCAGCGTTAGTTCTACGCAGGAAGCTGATAATACAGAGATACAGCAGTATGGATGAGATTGTGGAGGAGTGTAACAGTATGGCCGGACAGCTCGATGTGTGGAAGCTCCTCGATGACGCTCATCACCTCATCGTTACCCTCCACGATAAGATCGAACCCTGAAATCGTCATCCTTTCCCATCTCGTTTCCGCCTCCCCTTTTACCCGTTTTGCTCGGCTTGAATCGGAAGTGTTTCACTCATGCACTCAATCTAGCCGTTGCTGCTCTTTCTGAAGCTTTCAGACAAGGTTGAGGTTATTGTACCACACAAGAACTCTGCTCCACTTGCCTGTTCTGTCTTTCCAAAGGCTATTCCTTTTGTTTTCTCTCTTTATTTTCCCTCATTATACAACACGGAGAACACAATGCATTGTATCTGAATCATATGATGTTCTTCATCTTAAACAGAGCCAAATCAAACTGTTCATTATGGCTTCTATGTTTGTCTGATAACCAGACTGAACTCTTTTTCCGACCAAACTGTCTCAATCTGGGAGAGAAGAAACTGCAAATACATGTCTTGTTTATTCAGATAACATAACAGTGACCGAACACAAACGAATCTAACAATGCATTTATATCGTTTTCGTGGCTTAACAAGAAATCAGCAATAATCTAAGTCTAAGATCACACACAAAAAAGAGAGCGCCAGTATATTACATTCTCCAACCCAAGAGCCAGAAGAAGATGCCATTTATGTCTGTAAGGACGCCTTACTCTTCTTTCTTGGTGTAACGACGGACGGCAAGAGCCAGTCCCACGATCAAGACAGGTACCAGGAACTGCAGAATCTTTACCACGAAATCCGAGGTCTTGGCTTGTTCGTACCTCGCTTGCTGTGGCGGAGCGTAAGTTCGTCTCGGTGGCACGGTTGAAGGGTCGGTCTCCCCAATGTAGTACTGCTTCATCATATCACTTGCAGTGTCGCTGTGGCCGATGTCTTCGAAATCGTTTCCCTACAGAATCATTCCAGAAAAGGGTTAAGTCATTTGAAAGTGATCAAAACTCGGGATCGATCGTAAGAACAGAGGATGGATCTTTTTCACCTGTTGAGGACAGCAAGACTTCGTCGCCTCCTGGATGATCATCCATGAAGGGGGTCACATCGTATACCTAGAATTGAGCTCATGGGACAATCATCAATCTTCAGTTCTTGGTGTGTATTTCGATTTTCGTGAAATACTACCCTAATCACTGAGAATCATAATCTTCCTCTTGACTATGTAAGATGTGTTCTTGTTTCCACCATTTTTTCCCATCGAAGCTTTACGGAAGAACAAATTTCAGACAAGATGAATCCTCGTGTAATCGATTCAAAGAGGAAAAGATCAAACCTTGCCGGAAATTACAAGCCAGCAGTCCTCGGTTTTGTTGTGCTTCGAGACTTCTTCGAAGATCAGGACCTTCTTCTCATCTGAAGTCATTTCTTCTCAACTGCAAGCAATATCAAAATCAAACCAAATCCAACAGCCGATCCAGACAAAACCCACGAAACCCAGATACGAGAAATAAGAGATTCGAACCAGAATAGACGGATCGATGATCAAAGTTACGAACTTTCTTTACGATTTCACAGAAAGAAAGAAAACAAAAAGGCAACCTTTCTCTGCCACTGGCTTTGGAATTTCGATATCTTCAAAGCACGAATTAGCAGAGATGAGTATGAGAAAAATGGTGTTCGTCCGCTATAATTGAATGAGTCCAACACCGGCGGAAATTACCAAAGGCGCATGGGCATGGATTTGGCTGTCGACACTTGGCAGGGGTAGTTTCGTATTTTCATGGAACAAAAGCTTCTAATATAAAAATTATAAGCAAATAATAAACGCGGAATGGGACTTTCTGAGCAGAGGGATTTTATTTTATTGAAAAAAAACTATTTTACGATTATTACAACTACCACTCTACAGTTATCTGATGAATATTCGGATTCTAACGACTACTCGGCATGAAGCTCATGCAAATCGGAGGATAAACTCCGGCGAGAGCAAGAATCGACGACGGCAGAATCCAAAGCCCGTCGCCACATATCAGACCGGAAGCTATCGCCGGAATCATCAGTCTCGCTTTGGTCTTGTCGATCCTGTTCCACACGAACACGACCAAGCTCCCGACACACATGTCGATGGCGAAGTAACCTCCGACGAGGAACGGAACCGCCATCGCCATCGGAAGCGGGACCCATTTCCCGACATTCTCCGGCAACATGTCCCTCGCGAGGTTCGCCGCCACGGCGAAGGCGAAGAACCCGTAGCAGAGCTCGAGACAGTGGCGTGGCAAAGCCGAGAAGCCCTCCACGCCGAGGATCGCCATGTTCCTGTAGACCAGAGCGTACGGAGCTTTGTACGTTCCGTTAGGGTTTCCAACGTCAAAGGCCTTGTAGAAGAGGAAGAACGTCAATGGCGCCACCACACAGCCAATGGCGGTGCCGATTGCTTGGCTCACAAGCATCGAACGGGGCGAGGTAAAGGTTAGATGTCCCGTCTTGAAATCGTGCATGAGATCAGAGGAGATCGAGACGATGGATTTGATCAGACCGCAACCCACGAGACCTGCGACTACACCATCTTGTTTTCCCGCCATAGCGGCCAAGATGAACAGGGCGACTTTCCCGTAGTTGTAAGCCATGTTCATGTCCGTAAGGCCTGCTCCGTACGCATTGCTGAAGCTGAGAGACGGAGCTAAGACATACGCCACGACGACGAAGTACCATTTGACCTCGTGGAACATCATAGGGATCAAGACGACGGATACAACCGAGAAGGCGCCATAGCTTACGACCGCTACCCACAACGGGATACTGTCTCTTACGAAGACTTCGTCTCGTTTCAGATCTGCAACTGTTTTCTTGTGGTTGTCTGAATCTGCAGTACCTAACATTATCGTGAGAAACCCTCGTGAGGAAATAGAGATCGGTGTGATCACGGTATTTTCCGGTACTCACCGGAGTTAACGGCATTGTGGTTCTTCATTTTGGAATATATGTTCCAGCCGGTGAAAACGAGGATCTTGACAAAGTTGTAGAGCCCGTCTCCGAGGATCAACGCGATAGATACAAAGACCTGTGAATTGCGATCCATCATTCTGATATTTATACGCGATTTACTGTATAAGTATCTGTATAAATATATATTTATACGGATTCGGCAAACCTTGTAGCCGTTGAGACTCTTCATGCTGCTTTTTGGTAGAGATTCAGGGTACCACTTTCCTTCAAGACCCGAGATAATGGGCCACATTATTCCCCAAGACAGAACAGCGCCGAGAAGCAAGGACAGGTTCACCAGATGCGAACAGATCATCCCCGCCCCGATGTACGTCATGCTGAAATCAAAGTAGAATCTGCAGACACGAGATCGTTGATCCGGGTTTCATTATGAAACTTTCATATGTCTCATAAGAATGTAAAAGGGAATAAGACTCGGGAAAACTCACGAGTTCTTCCGAGCTAGTAATCCAAAGGTAGGGAACTTAACAAATCCGCATTCGGATTCAGAGCCGTCGCCGGAGAAGAACCACTGAAAGAATGCCCAGATGAAGCTTACCGAGAAGTACTTTGCAAACCCGCGAACCTGTTTCCTGCAAAACACGTACCATCGTATTCGTCGATATTCAAGAAAGTACGAGCTTATTGCAGATAGAGATAGGGAATGAACCTGGCCATTTTGTTGCCTTTGGAAGTGTGGAATCCGTTGATAAGAACGGCGGTAGCTGTTCCACTCGGGTATGTCAGCTTATAGTCTATGATCATGATCTGCCAAAACATCAGAAAGAAACATATCTGAGTTAAGCTCCGTCACTTGAGTTCGGGATTCCAAACTTATGGGAGCTGATGTCCCAAACCTTTCTCAGAGGAACCAGTGCCAAAAGCCCGACAAAACATGTCACGAACAAGAAACCAGTCATCCAACCGATCCCGGGTTCTTTCGTGCTTCCTGGATTGTTCCCGACCGTGTCGATGCCCCCTGACTGTTCATACGTCTTCTGGTTCAAACCAAGAAGATAAGAACCAAACCCACCTGCAAAATATCACACAACCAAGAATTCAGTTCACAGTTCAGGCAGAGAGAGAGAGAGAGAGAGAGAGAGAGAGAGAGGTCATCGAATCTGTTCAGAAACCTCCGACAGCAATGCTGTAACAAGCGACAGCGCATGTCTGGACGAGCGTGTTCTCCTGTTTCGTGAAGGGTTTGGTCACGATCCCGGCCTTGTGGAGAAGCGTAGTCCATGTCTTGAGGAAGACGAAGGCGAGGAGAGCGGCGGAGACGTTGAGGTTGGGGACAAGGCCTGTGGTGAGGTTCAGCTTCATCACTATAACGCTGTATATCACGCCGATGAATAGACTTGCAATGATTCCTCTGAAGGTGAGCTGGCTTTTCCATGGCGGAATCGTCTTTAAGTCGTCTGGTTCGTTCTGCGTCTCTTCCAGATCATCCCTCTCCTCCTTCTTCTCAATCTCGTTCACATCTTCCCGCCCCATCGTTGAATTCCTCATCTGGGTTTCTTCCAATCACTGAAAGCCCGGAAAGAAACCGGAGAAGAAGGGAAGTAAAACAGATTCCCCAGAGTGTCAATCGACCCATTTTCCGGGAAAATTACAAGAAAACAGGGGAGAGAAAAGTGAAAGATATGTAGAATCAAGTGACGCAGATTACCTCCGGTGACAGTGTTGGATTCCGGAATATCAAACAGAGCCCAGAATTTTATTCTGATTTTCCACGCCACACTAATCATCACACGAAGAACAAAAAGATAACAATAATTAGACAAAAAGCGAAAGATTAAATTAATCATAATCTGAAAGCGAATGAAAGAATCAGATGACGCAAGTGAAATCCAGAGATCGGATTAAAAGTGTACGACTTTTGGATTATTACCACCAGGAATCTGCCATTACCTGCAACTGTGTCGATATGGGTTTTGCTTCTTCTTCTTCTTCTTCTTCAATGAAACAGAAACGAAATGGATAAGCCGCAGCCGCAAAAAAACAAACTGGGTTCGTGTTCTTGTCCGAGAAAACGAACACGAACACGAAGAACAACACTCAGAGATTCCCGATCCCCAAGAAGATGAAACTTCACTCCGGCGTTGAATGCGTATACGAAATCGTCGAGTGGTGAGGAAATCGACGATTGGTGGGTGGGGGGATGAATTATAGAAACAGAACCGCAGAATGTGAGAGGAGAGGTTTGATGTGTACCGGAAAATCGGTACTGCAAAGAAGCCTTTTTCAGGTTTTGTAGTACAAATTCATCCAAAAAGGCTCTGACTTTATATTCTTTGATTTCGACTCTCAACGCTAAATTCTGTTTCTCGTGGTGACCGATTTACTCCATTTTATTTTTATTTTTATTTTTGCAGAGAAATGACGACATGTTTGTGTTTTAAGGAAATTTCTTTCCCCTAGATTCCCTACTTACTCCTCGAGTTTGAGATTTAAATCCTATATTTTTAAAATTTTAAAGAGCATAGTGTCGTAATTATCATGTGAATTATTTGGATTGTGTATTGGGTTTCTTTCCTGTTTTGTCGCCTGAGAAAAAATTTACCAAATTCAAATGCATGCATACCTAAACATGCTGAGAAATACACCAAAAATGAAAAGTATATACGCATGGAAATTCCATAATGAAGGATTTGTAAAGACGGGTAGGCACGAGTATAGTTTGGAATTTTTTTTTTTAATTTTTACTTGTAATAAAGTTTTTATGTACATGTAAGAATCTATTCCAATTCTTAGGCTTAAGTCAACATGTAATATTCAATTTTTGAGAAATTCAAATGCCTTGCGATTTTCTAATGTTTATAACTAAAAAAATCTTTAACTCAAAATTTGAATGAGAATGTTTAACAAAAAAAATTTGAATGAGAATATTATCTACTTAAGTCGATAATTTTTAGGATTTAGCGTCGGATTTAGGTGGGGATAGTATTCGGTCCCACAACTGCAATAATAATGATAATAATAATAATAATAATAATAATAATTAATCATAATAATTTATTATAATTATCAAATTCACTAAAGCGCGACAATGAGTCCGATGATATGCATATCCATCCACTTTAGGCGAGTTGTTTGCCTTGTTTTTTTTTCTATATTTAAAACCGATCTGATCCGGCCGGTCAGGGCGGTCGGACAGCAAACCGGTATTTTTTTAGGTTTGATACAAACCAGCGGTTTTTAATAAACCGGAATACTGATCCGATTCGATAAAATCCGGTTTATATGTTTTAGTTTCCTCTTTTTTTTTTTTTTTTTTGTTAAAAGATTTTAGTTTCCTCTTTGGCAGTTGTATTAGGATCTCCTTTTCCTAAACGAGACAAAAATAATTGATTTTTGATAGATATTAGCTATGTGTTGGTTGGACGATATATGCACATAATTCTATGAGATATATATTGCTATAATGCTCACTCAAAATTACATTTTAATATGTTTTGGATTTATATTATTTAATATGGAACTATCCTTTTTATATTTTAGAATACCTTAGTTAATATTATATATATTTATTTATAATTTATATTTATTAAAAATTAAAATTCAAAAATTAATTTCGAATTGGTTCACCCATGGTCCTACAAAGATGAATTCAATTCAATTTTAAAAGCATTTATAAGCAGAAAGTACAAGTCTCCTTAATTAATTGTGTATATATATATATGTGTGTATGTATATAGTTGTTTTACTTGAAAAGTGTATGGCCTTTACGTTTTGGATAGGAACATCGGGCTTGCGGCTTTCGCACGCAAATTATTGAAGGAATAATTATTTTTGTAAAATTGGCATATAACATAAATCAATCGCTTAATCTGCTTACGTGCAATAGTCATCACCCCGTAGACATATCATATCTTATATTTTCAATTTTCATGCACAGTACGTTGACCTATTAACAGAAGTTCTCTCTGTACAAAGTTTTTTTATTATTTCTCACTGTACAAAGTTTAGGTACGTTACTAAAAAAATATAAAACCGTGGGAAGATTTGCAGAATAATTTATAAGCTTTTCGTTAATAATATATATATATATATATATATATATATATAGGGAGAGAGAGAGAGAGAGTTTACTCCTAATATAATATTAAACCTAATCAAATCCGTAAATATGAATATTATCTATAATATAGCATATTACATCTATAAAAATAAATTATCCCTTAAATAATCCCGTAAATATGAATTTTTTTTTACAGATCCGTCTAAATTGGTTAACATTTAAGATTTGTTATTTTTGTATCTTAAAATTTTATATAATTTAAAAATAAAACTAAAAAAATTGTCACAATTTTTTAAATTATTTTTTTAAAAATCATTCTCTCTTTCTATATTCAACACCTAAATATTAATCACATTTTCTTTTTTAATATGAATAAATATCATCTAGGATGGATACCAATAGATATACAGAATTTTTAGATTACCTAAATTCGAACACAAATCGGACGAGTTATGTATATTAAAACCCTATTTTAAACTCAATCTTTTAGGTAATGGAATTATATTACATTCAAGATAATTTTTGAATATAAATAAATATCCGAATCCAATGAGTTTAAATATACTTTGATTTAAAAACTAAAAATTCGATAAATTACATACAAATAATTTATAAAATCATTGAAAATATTAATATTCAAAATGACTATATTATTAAATACATATTGATATATATATATATTTGTAATTAGTTTATAATAATTATAAAATATATTATTATTTATTTGGATAGCCACTGAAAACATTATTTTGAATCTGAACTCGGATTTTAGACATATCAAAACTGATCTCGATTTTATTACAATGTGAATATATAATTTTCGGATATTCAATCCTCGAATCAGAATAGATATCCAAAATTTAAATATTTTTGTCCATTCCTAATATCATCACTGTATAAGATATTAAATATTTAGTTTTAATAACTAACTTTTTTTCTTTACTTATTTTCATATAGAAAACAATCATCTATTTACATTTATATTGTTTAATATTACTGATAATAATATTTTCATTAGAATTATATGTTTAATTTTTTTTAATGCAATCTATTAGGGTAGAGTAAGGAATTTGATACTACATATTAGATTAATAAATTTTCGTTCTATTTTTACCATTTTTTATTGATTATTTAGTTACTCAAAATATAAAAAATTAAATCTCAATATAAAAACATACAAAATAAAATAAAATTCAAATTTAATATAAAAAAATCATAACGATTAATAATTTTTTTAAAAAAATATCAACTATAAAGTTCTAGTTGATGTTTTTAATTCAAATAAATTTAAAGAATTATATTGTTTGAGTTGTCTTATGATATAATTATACAATTTCCTTGATTTAGAATTTACTTATGTATATTAAAATTTAATATTGTATTTAATCAAATTTAATTGAAATATCTATAAAATTGAAATTCAGTATATTTTTGTGTAATCTAAATTTTATAAAAAATAAATAAATTATAAATATAGTATAGAATCCCGAAAATATGGATATGGTTTTTTGTTTGCTTGTTCAAACAAATGAAATAATAGAATATATTTTTTGTGTCGTGGTCGTGGTCTTTTTTGGCATGACCATTGCAGGAATTTGATTCTCTCTCGTTCAAGATGAAACTTCTGCGAAAGCATATAATAAAGGAACATATTATCAATTTATATTTTAAAAAAGGATACAGAATGAATAACGAACTCACAAAGTTTTATTCGATACTAAGTTCAGTGATGATGACGACGACGACGCATTGCTTTAGTGAGCGAACAATGACCAAGGTTTAAAATTGACAATAAAATGATATATTCACCAATTGTTAATCCAAAATTATACAAATAATTTTATTTATCTTAAATATTTCAAAACTTAATGCGATTGTTATCTAAAATATTTATGGTTCATCATTTGAAAATAAAAACATTAATTAAAAACAAAGTAGCACGAAGGAAGTTGCGTGAGAAATCCTTCAACTGAAATAAAAAGGGAAAGAATGAAGAATAATCCAGTTGTTATTTAATTTCTTCAACAGATTATAAATATATATATAAATAACTAATGAATAGTAGTGAACAAAATATTGAACGTCGAAAAATGACATTTTGAACGCTGTCTTTGTCGATAGTGAAATTCAGACATAAATTCGAGAAAATTATGTGTAAGACCAATAATTACATCAAAGTAGACATGCATTTGTCGAATGCATAAGAAAGTGACGTACACAATTGTAAAAACCATAATTTGCAGAGCTCTCGTGATTAAATTAATAATCTCATTAACCATCTGGCAGTATATATATTGTGGATAATTAACACAATATATGTAAAACTTAATACATATATAAATGATTCTGTAGGATATAAAATTGAATCATAAAATTCATATTTTCAATGGTTGATTGATTGTTGATGTGTTTATTTTGGGTACTTCTAAACTATTACAAAGTTGATATGATGATATTTTTTTTCCCTAAAGAACCTTACTAGTTTAGAGACCTAAAATCATCCTTTTATACCGATTTTCTTCATCATAAATTAGTAAATAATTATAATCAATTCAATTCAATTAATGAACCACTTATGAGAGAAAATTATTTCTACTTTCGTTAGTGAAAAATTATCAATTCTATAGACCATCAATAATAGATGAAAACCATTATCCCATCAATAATAGTATACACTAGGGGTGGGCACGGATCGGATATCCGGAGTTTTTAAGATATCCGTATCCGTATCCGATCCGTACAAATACATAATTTTACTTTTCGTATCCGATCCGTATATTTCGGATATTCGTTGTTTCGGATATCCGTAAAAATCCGCGGATATCCGTATACGAATTAAAATATGATAAAAATAAAAAAACAAAAGAATCTATAAACACAAAAAAAAAAGAATTCAAAAAAAATATCTTTTGAGTTTTTTTATGGTACGTTCCATCAAAACACCCACAAAAAGTCCAAAAAAAAAGTTATTAGAAAATTAGATTGCATGTTTACATAAATATTTCGTAAAACCTTGCAATAAGATTTTTTGTCAAATTATATTTATATATATAAATATATATAAATATGCAGATATGAGGTTTAGAGATATTACTCTTACAGGAAGATATATATATATATATATGAAATATAACAAAACCAGTGGAAGAGAATTTCTAGATCCGAAAAAAAATGAAAACTATATAACAAATAATCTCTACCTTTGATAAAAAAAAAAATCTACTCATCTTAGAATGAAAATGAAGGCGATGCAACTGAAGATCTTCCAAAAGCAAGATGAAGAAAAGAAAAAAACAAGATGAACATGACGAACGGCGGAAAGATGGAAAAAAGGATGTTGGGTGAGAATGATAAAAAACCTAGCATATTTTTTATTTATTTTAAAATGACCCCTTAAATATAAATTAATTACTAAATTATCCATTTATTTTTTTAATATGTCAATTATCGTTACACTTTACAAAAAATCTGATACTTGAATCATGGCGATAAATCCTTTTATCTTTCATGTATTCCAATGTATCATTTTCATACTTTTTTCAACTGTCGAATGTATAAGAAATTGACATAAAAAATTGTAGAAAAAACATTTGGAGAAATTTCATGATTAAAGTTATAATCTCATCAATCATTTGGCAGTATATAAGGATGCTCTTTTATGAACATTTTTAAGTAAAAAATAAACAATATTAAAAAAACAACATTTCCATGTAAACTAATCGTATCCTCGTATGCAGACTATCCTCTACGAACAATTTATGATCATTGAAGGAAAAAATTGCAAAAATAACATATCGATGTGAAATTTCTAAATTACATATTCTGATTATCATTATTATTATCATTAATTATATGAATGCTCGTACCATTATTTGCTAACGTTAAAAAAAAAAAAAGACAGTGTGAAAGTGGAGAAATGGGCCGCCCTACGTATCCGAACTAAGTTGCATGTTTAGTTATTATGACGTAAACTGGTTTGGCTACCTGCATATGTCCCACTTGGCATTTTATGCACAGATGTTTAATTAGCATTGTGCGCACACACATAGATATATATATATATGATATTTATATATAATATGGTCGCTTGAAATATGCATAGGGAAATGAATGATGGGTAAGTAGAAAAAGAAAAGTTGGAGGGAAAAAGAACAAGGATGGCAATCTTGCAATAAAGGATGCCCCATCATTAAGTCGCCTTGTCTATATCTATCCTCCTCCACTATCTTAAAAAAATGATACCTAAGGATTTCTTTTCACTTTTTTTTTTAATAATATATATTATAGGCGACCATTTTCGAGTTTCGATTCGAATTCGGTTCATTTATATTCATGGTTGATTATTTCAGATACAGAAAAAATATAACCATTCAATTTTTATATCAATTTCGATTCGGTTCATTTTTTTGTTCGAATTCGGTTTTTTATTAATAAAAAACTCATTTTTTAATAAATTTTTTATTTTACGTTATTTTTTTATTCAACTCTGTTCGATTTCGGATTTTTTTCGAATTTAGAGAAGTCATAACCGTTCGGTACTTATGTTGGATCCGGTTCGATCATAATTCTGTCTTATTCGGTTTGATTATTCGGTTAATAATGAAAATGGTAACCATATATATATATATATATATATTCCCATTAACAAGATGTGAATCAAATTCATATTGGAATTTGAACGTACTAATAAAAATTAGACTATGTTTATTCATACGGATACATTTGGTCGCGACCGTGTGCGAATCATATGTACAATACATAAATATTGCATATTTAATATGGACCGATTCGAATTTTTCTTCCTTTTAGCTAATTATGGGATTAATGCGTGGAAGATCATAATTAATGCCTAAAAAAACAAAACCAATTACCCTCAGACCCTCCATGATTATAGAGCTTAGTCAAATAAATAAAATACAATTTACGAAAACAAGAATCACCATAATTAATATCGAGTTCATTTAACATGATTTATACAAATAGTTATTTAGAAATGCAAATTTTAAACTACCTATGAACACGTTAATGTTGGATAATAATAATAATAATAATAATAATAATAATAATAATAATAATAATAATAATAATAATAATAATAATAATAATAATAATAATAATAATAATAATAATAATAATAATAATAATAATAATAATAATAATAATAATAATAATAATAATAATAATAATATACGTTACGATCATCCATTATACCCAAATAATGATATAAATTTAAAATTTTAATTAGAATGGATCATGTTGTTTGAATTTGAATATTAGATTGTCATTTGGGCCTTTATATAAACTTTTAGGCCTACTATCCGTAGGCTAGAGATATGGGCCCTTATGGGCCTGCCTGATTCCCCGTAGTGCCCACGAGATCTTTGCTGAAATTACGACGGTGCCACCACGACAGTTTTCGTAATTCCAACGGAAGAACTTTCTTCTTTCCTCGATCCACACGCTCTCTTCCGTTTCGTTTGTCCACCAGAACTCCGGCAATTCGGCGACACCGTCTCGTATTCGCATCTCTTGTCTGTTGTCTCTGAGCCCTGATTTCTGAGATTTTCTCCGAGAGTTGAGGGTTTCTGTCTGAATTCTTGCCAGGTTGTGGATGGGAAGAAGAACGGGGAGTTCCTCTTCGGAGACCAAGTTCTTACAAGAGCTGATACTGTACGCGGCGAGCGCGGCGGTAAGCTGCTTGATTCTCTTCGCGGGTCTCCGACATCTCGACCCGAACCGTGACTCGGCCAAAAAGGCGCTCGAGCACAAGAAGGAAATCGCGAAGCGTCTGGGTCGTCCTCTTATCAAGACCAATCCTTACGAGGTGTGTAGTTTTCCTTTTCTTGAATTAGAAACTTGAATTCCTGAGATTCTTAAGTTTTCAGGACATATGATTTGTGGGTATATGATCTTGTGTTTACGGTTTCAAATGGTATTTTCTATAGTTGCGGTGGTTTCATGTCGTAGATTGGAGGGAGTCTTGATGCAATTTGAGGCATTGTCAATGTTTATGCATGAAAGTCTCTAAAGTTTTTACATTTACTCTGTTTTACATGTACAGAGTCAAACATTGTTCTCTGTTTACATGTACAGGATATAATAGCATGTGATGTTATAAATCCAGACCACATTGATGTGGAGTTTGATTCTATTGGAGGCTTGGAAAACATCAAGCAGGCTCTGTATGAGCTTGTGATTCTACCTCTGAGGAGACCTGAGCTGTTTTCTCATGGAAAGCTGCTTGGCCCTCAAAAGGGTGTCTTGCTATATGGTCCTCCTGGAACCGGAAAGACGATACTTGCTAAGGCTATTGCAAAAGAATCCGGAGCCATTTTCATTAATGTTAGAGTTTCAAATCTGATGAGCAAGTGGTTTGGAGATGCTCAGAAGCTTGGCAAGTGTCTTTTTTTTCCCCGGGAAATCCATCTCATTCTCTGTGGTTTGATGTTTTAGATTGTTTGAAAGCCTTAGGTTTTAGTTCATATGATATTATTCAACTTCAGTGTCAAATTATTACATTTTCCCCTGAGTGACGATGTTACTGATATGTGGCTTGTCCTGCTCTTCAGTGGCTGCTGTATTTAGCCTGGCATACAAACTCCAACCTGCTATTATATTTATTGACGAGGTTGACAGCTTTCTTGGTCAGCGTAGATCAACCGATCATGAAGCAATGGCAAGCATGAAGACTGAGTTTATGGCTTTGTGGGATGGATTTACCACAGACCGTGAGTTTCATCCATCGTGTCTATCTTTTTCACTTTGTCGTGCAAACAAAGTGCAGTTTGAAGTAATCTTTGTAAGGTTTGGTACTTATGAATAGCGCTCTTTTTCTTTAGAGAATGCAAGGGTGATGGTTCTTGCTGCAACCAACAGGCCATCAGAACTTGACGAAGCAATACTGAGGCGTTTTTCTCAAGCCTTTGAAATCGGGATGCCTGACTGCCGGGAGAGAGCTGAAATTCTGAAAGTGACCCTGAAAGGGGAGAGGGTGGAACCCGATATCGATTATGATCATGTAGCTGGATTATGCAAAGGCTATACCGGATCAGATATATTCGAACTTTGTAAGAAAGCAGCTTACTTCCCCATCAGAGAACTCCTAGATGAGGAGAAAAACGGGAGGAAACGTTACTCGGTTAGTGTAAGAATACCGTCCATGATCGCAAAGAAGTTTACTTCCACCACCTGATGTGAAGTACTGAGGCTTTGAGTTGCAAACACATTTTCAGGTTCCACGGCCATTGTCACAGTTGGACTTGGAAAGGGCTCTCGCTGCATCAAAGAAGATACAGGTTGCAGCAGGCTGAATGCTCTGGATTGAGCTGGCAAGATTCAGTATGGAGAAGCTAAAGGGATCCAGACAATGTCCAAACGGCCATAACCGGTCTTTCCAAGCTTCTAGTTTGAGGTCATTAAACTTCAGTCAGATTCTCAAGACTCGTCGATGGACTCGAAGAAGAACCCAGATGAATTTTGTGTAGCTAAGCACGAAAGGATGAATCTTTTGTAGGGTTCTGATGTCGGAACGAATAGGGCATTGCCTTGACGCCCACGTTTTTCTTGTTCTTTGATTCTTTTGGTTGTCATAGAAATCAAATGATACAAACTTTACACTGTTCTGCTTTGCTGAATCTCCAATTCATTTGAGCAATGTTCTAATTCTAACTTCTGCTTCAGTTACTACCCCTTGTCTTCCTCATTATCAACAAGATTTATTTTATTCTTTTCACGAGTTAAGAGGATTGGGTAAATTCAGAAAATAAAAAAGTTGTAAACTTTAATCTGAAAGTGAGATTTTGGAGCTCTATATGTCGGGTTGATGATAGTTTCATGTGGGCTTTGGCAGAGTTTAACTGGGCTTCTTGAGTCAACCTGTGATAATTTGTTTTTTGGTTTATCGTTCTGTCGATCTTCCGTCTCCGAGCCAACCGTCAACATCTTCTTCGAATCGGTCGCTTCTCGTCTCTCTTCGATCCAACAACGTCTTTGGATTCAATTTCGAAGGTTAGTTATTGTTCGATTATTCGATACAATCTGAGTTTATGGGTTTCCGTTGATCTCACCGAATTGTCCTCCCCTCGATCTCTAACGAGACATTTTACCTCTGAATCAAGAGTTGTCCGAGGTTGCTTTTCGTACGAATTGGGCTTAGGGTTTACTTCTGCTTTTTTTATCCTGGCAGAATCGTGAGCTAAAGCTCTTTCTTTCCGTGTCGTGCGATAATCTGAATCAGCTTTAGCTTAAGCCTTACGAATTGATGTTTGAAATTTTTGGAATGCCACTGATTTTGTCCCTTGTTTCGGATTGATTTACTCTCTGAACAGGTTATTGCGGTCGGGATCGAGTCTTCTGACCATGGTACGTCCCCTTATTCGTTGTCGTCCAAGTACTTGCCTTTATCTGATTTCTTCAGAAGAATTGCTTTGCTTGCTTAGACAAGAACTTAGGGTAACGTTCATATCTTTTTGTGTGGGGTTCATGTCACAGAATTACCTTCTTGGAGCCTTCAAGCCGGCGTGTCACGTTTCAATCACTCTTTCTGATGGGAAAACCCGTAAACAGGCAAGGCTCTTAAATTTCTCTACTTTCTTCTTCAATGGGTTCTATATGTCTCGTGGATCCGTTAGCTGTGAAAGATATATTTAATCTTTTTATGCTCATGTTATGTTCAATGGTATGTAATACCTTCTCTGATCTGGGTTTTCCTTAGGTACCCTTGAAGAAAGAAAACGGGCAAACCGTCATGGTGCCACTTTTCCAGAGTCAAGAAACTATTTCGGGGAAGGTACGTTGTTTTTCTTGATCTATCTTTGGAATCATAGAATGCTAGGTATTCGATGTGGGAAATGTATCTTAAACTTTCCTTATATGATGTTTAATGCTTGATTATATAATTTATTCGCGATTTTTTTTCACAGGTTTGTATTGAACCTGCTCAAGGGAAAAAGGTTGAGCACAATGGTGTAAAAGTTGAGCTTCTTGGTCAAATAGGTACACAAATACATCTGCCAAGAAATCGTCTTTTTGGACCGAGTTATCGGTTTATCGTCTCACCTGTCTATATATGCATACTGATGTTGTTTCTGGTGTTGACAGAGATGTATTTTGACAGAGGAAACTTTTATGACTTCACTTCCTTGGGTGAGTAGAGAGTTCTCTTACATGACTATTTGACAAACAATGGCGAAAGCTATCTTGTTGTGGTTATGATGGAAATGATTTGGAGTTTTCTGGCATGTCTGGGATGACTCTGATGATTGATTTCGCTCGTATCAGTGACATAGATCCGATTTTATGTTCGCTTGTGTTAGATATGTCTGATTTCTATCTTATTTGTGCTTATGTTCGTCTTGTTTCCAGTACGTGAACTGGATGTCCCTGGAGAGATATACGAAAGAAAAACATATCCTTTTGAATTTTCAACGGTCGAGATGCCTTATGAGACGTACAACGGTGTGAATGTACGGCTAAGGTATATGACCTCAGAATCAAACAGTTTTTTTTTTTTTGACAATTTTTGTATTCCATTAGTTTCACTTCTCTTTGTTTTCTCTAGGTATGTGCTGAAAGTAACAATCACACGTGGTTATGCCGGAAGCATAGTGGAATACCAGGATTTCGTGGTATGTTTGTTTGTTTTCATCACTAATTTTTTTATTGGACATTATGCATCTATATAGTTGAAACTACGCGAGGGGCGATTAAGGTGGTTTGGACATGTAAGACATAGACTGCTAGACGTTCTGGTTAGAAAAGTAGAGTTTATAGGAATGTGGATGAGGAGGAAAGGGAGGGATAGATCTAGATTCACTTGAGAACAAATTGTTAGCAACAACTCGGAGATGTTGCAAATTTCAGAAGATTTAACCCAAAATCGAAACGAATATAAACGAAGAATTCATGCGGCCGACCCGAAATAAATTTGGGATTAAGGCGATGTTGTTGTTGTTGTGTATGCATCTATATAGTTCATGTTGTGTTGTGACAGAATAATATTTTTTATGTCATCAAAGATGTTCTGTGTTGAATTTGATTTTTTTTCCCCGGTATTCTGAATCAGGTCAGGAACTATTCTCCACTTCCTGCAATTAACAACAGCATCAAGGTTAGGACTTTGGCTTATATAAATATGCATAATGCTTTTTCCTTTTGTTTTCCTCACTTGCTAAGTTCAACTCCATATGGTCTTGACCAATTTACACAGATGGAAGTCGGAATTGAAGATTGCCTGCACATCGAGTTTGAGTACAATAAAAGCAAGTAAGATGATCTGGGTTTGCAATGTGAGCTTTGAGCATAGATATCCTTGCGTGTTCCGGAGAATAAAACAGCCGATTTCCTATGCAGGTATCACCTGAAAGATGTTATACTGGGCAAAATATATTTTCTCCTAGTGAGAATCAAGATAAAGAACATGGATCTTGAGATAAGACGGCGTGAATCAACAGGGGCAGGAGCTAATACTCATGTTGAAACAGAGACTCTGGCTAAATTCGAGTTGATGGATGGCGCCCCTGTTAGAGGTAGAGATCCAAATCTTGTATATTTTTCGAGTTCATGTTGAAGGAAATGCATAGAATGTATCTCCCTGTTCTCATTTCCTCGGTGTCAATTTGGGAGGGGGCTTCTGGTTCGGTCGAAACCTGACAGTTCTGAGTTCTTGCAGGTGAATCTATACCGATCAGACTGTTCTTGAGTCCGTACGATCTGACACCGACCCATCGGAACATTAACAACAAATTCAGTGTGAAGTACTATCTGAATCTTGTTCTGGTCGACGAAGAGGATCGCCGATACTTCAAGCAGCAAGAAATAACGTTGTACAGGCTGCAGGAAACATCTTGAGAAAAGGGAAGAACAGGATTTCACGGTAATCTTTGGACACCATCTTGTAAAGGGCTTTTAGGCTTCGGTTCTGTAATCGAATTTCTGCTGAAGATTGGCACTTGGTCGGAGTGAAAGTTCACCTGTTTGTAGTTTATCAGCAATTAGGGTTTTCCAACATTCATGGTTTTTGCAACTCGAATTCTTCATTGTGATCAAACCCCCTTTGTGGAAAAACCAGTTTCTCTTGTAATCAAACTTAAGTCTGGGCGAAAGCCAGAAACTTTACAGAATTCGTGGGAGGTAATTATCGTTCTTGGCCTTCTGATTCTACCTTCGAGTCAGGACCACAAGATATGCAGCCATGAGAGAAGACCTGCAAGAATTCGCAGTGTCCTAAAACATGTTTCAGGACACAGAGAGACGTGAAGACTTTCTCACGGAGATACCCACGAACGAAAAAGCAGGAAATCCGGAGGATTTTCCCGAGAAAATCAGTGATGAAGGTGGAAAATTGGAGTTTCTTGAAGAAGCTTCTGGTGGGTTTTCTTAAGATCTTTTTGTTCAGAGTTTAATTACACAATAAAACGGAAGAAGAGAGAGAGAGAGAGAGAGAGAGAGAGAGAGAGAGAGAGAGAACAGAGTGGCATTTTCATGTAGCTGTTGATGTTCTTACCGAACAAAAAAAATAAGAATCTGAACTTGTGGTTGTCCCCTCATCATAGATTTTCATCTTTGATCAAAAATATCAACAATATGATGAAATATAAAAAAAAAATTGTATAACTTTGATATTGATATCGATATTGTTTTGATGCGTACACCACCACCATCGGATCCATCCAAGGACATGTCGTGATGTGGAGATTGCTTAGACCTATATTCGGGGGTCGGGACCATAACATAATATAATATAATCTTTTTTTTTATTCATATAGGATGGACATTTTTAAATATTCTTTCTTATAACCATATATATATATATATATATATTAACATTAAGTGCATCCATACCTAGAAACGGCCTACAATGGACATAGTTATTCATTTTTGTCAAACGGCCTACCAAAGTCATCATGGATTTGAATAAAACCATTATAGTTGGACAAAATAATCATAACTAAATTGAATCGATCAAATTTTATTCCAATTTTTTCAAATAAGTTTTATTTTCCATCGATTGAAGCAAACCCAAAAATTATAAATAGAAAAACAAAATTTTAATTTTTTTTACCATATTAATTTACAGTTAATATTTAGCAAAAAAATGTATTGGAAACAAATTGATTTAATCATAATTAAACTGTAATGGACCGAATTGGGTCCCACACTAACCCTTCTGATCCGATGTGCGCCAAAAGGTCTCTATTCCTCCCTACCACCGACAACTTTTCCACCGTTGATTTTCGAACCACCGTATCCAGATCTCGCCACGTGTCAGATCTCCCGTCTTAGTGTAATCTGCTCTTCCAAAAGACGTATCCTCTGCGTGTCGCACACCTTAGTACCTATACACCAAGGCTATTCCGTATTGTACATTCCGACATCTGTCAAAGCTTCACACGAAGGTACCACTCAAAAGGGGCCAAAAGCTGACGGCATTTCCGCGTCAGTGATCTTTTTTAAGAGCCGAGTGCGAAGATCTGAGCACGAAGAAGAAGCAGTGGGTGTGACGAAAAAACAGATCTTTCCCCCCCACAAATCTTAGCTCCGGTCTTGGATCCCGACAATGGAGGTGTTCTACTACATGGTGTTCGGAGCTTTGGGCGTGTTGGTCGCCGCCATGGAGCTTAGCAAGAACAACAAGGATCGGATCAACACTTCTTCAGCTTTCAATTCCTTCAAGAACAATTACCTCCTTGTGTATTCGCTCATGATGGGTACGATGTTTCTTGCCTGCTCGCTCGTAAATTGTTTTACCTTTGCTCGATGTCTGTACGTATACATTATGCATATCGATCCGATCCTTTCCGGTCCGATCTGATCTAATTGATGTAATAATTAGATTAATGGGTTTGGTTGGAGATTTAGATCTGTAATGTATCCGAGCTTTGTCGGTGGAATTGAAAGTTGTCTTGAGGAAAGAGCTCCAGAGAAAGATACCGTGCCTAAAGTGCTAAACTTTTTGAAGGGAAAGTCTCAGAATTTGGCTTCATGTCTGTAAATGGGTTGAAATTTGTCGTATCAATTAATGCTCGGACAAAAGATGTTGACTGTGTGTTTTGGTTAAATGTTCTGTGATGACAGCGGGAGACTGGTTGCAGGGTCCATATGTGTACTACCTCTATAGCACTTACGGATTTGGGAAGGGAGAGATCGGACAGCTTTTCATTGCTGGTTTTGGTTCCTCCATGTTGTTTGGCACAATTGTTGGATCTCTTGCCGACAAACAGTGCGTCTGTTTCTCAGATGTTATTGTGATTCTTTTATGTAATGAAGTTATTAGTTCTTTATCTCCCAGATTAGTATTTGCATAATGCTGTATTCTGTTTCAGGGGCCGTAAGAGAGCTTGTATTACGTATTGCATTACGTATATACTGAGCTGCATCACCAAACATTCACCTGAATACAAAATTCTGATGGTAGGCCGTGTTTTGGGAGGAATTGCCACTTCCCTTCTGTTTTCAGCCTTTGAGTCATGGCTAGTTGCAGAGCACTTTAAGGTCAGATCACTGTTCGAACCAATCTGATGGTAGCTGGAAATGCCATTTTCGTATATGAACTTAGTGTTCCTTGTGATCGTGCAGAGGGGCTTTGATCAACAATGGCTGTCGCTGACTTTCTCAAAGGCGATATTTCTTGGCAATGGTCTTGTTGCTATTCTGGCCGGATTATTCGGGAACCTGCTTGTTGATTCCTTCTCGCTTGGCCCTGTGGCACCGTTCGATGCCGCTGCATGCTTTCTCGCCATTGGAATGGCCGTCATTTTATCGTCATGGACTGAAAACTTTGGCGATCCTTCAGAAAACAAGGACTTGCTTACTCAGTTCAAGGGTGCCGCTGTGGCCATTGCTTCCGGTAAGCTCGAAATCCAATCACGGCATCGTGTATTTGAGAGGCTAATACCCTAATGACTCACCTTTTCTGTATTGCTTTCGGCTTTCATCAGATGAAAAGATTGCTCTTTTGGGTGCGATCCAATCGCTGTTTGAAGGATCCATGTATACATTTGTATTCCTCTGGACTCCTGCTCTAAGCCCAAACGACGAGGAAATTCCCCATGGATTCATTTTCGCAACTTTTATGCTGGCTTCGATGCTCGGGAGCTCACTCGCATCTCGCTTGTTGGCACGCTCTTCTCCCAAAGTCGAAAGCTACATGCAGATCGTCTTCATGGTTTCCTCTGCCTCACTTCTGCTTCCGATAATAATGACTGTATGTTTTCTACTGATCCCTTCTTCAATTCTATTGTGTGTCTCCCAAATTACGAGCTTTCCCTTGATGATATGTATCGTTACAGTTCTTTGTAGCGCCTTCTAAGGTAAAAGGTGGAGGAATCTCTTTCATGGGTTGCATCCAGCTTCTTGGGTTCTGCATATTTGAGGCATGTGTCGGAATATTCTGGCCTTCCATTATGAAGATGAGATCTCAATACATTCCGGAGGAAGCCAGAAGCACCATCATGAATTTTTTCCGCATCCCGTTGAATATCTTTGTCTGCGTTGTCTTGTACAACGTAAGTTTCACAGAAATTCTCCCCGTTCCGTTACCAGAGATGGATCAAAACCCATATCACCTCGGGAGTTCTTGACTAGTTTGGTGTGTTTTTTGTATGTAGGTGGATGCGTTCCCTATCACGGTCATGTTTGGAATGTGCTCTATCTTCCTTTTTATCGCATGTATCCTGCAAAAGAGGCTCATGGCCATAGCTGACAAACCAAGTACGTGACCTCTCCCCCCCTCATTCCTTCTTTTTTGGATCTGTGTTATAAATTCTCGGCCAAGAACCGATCTGTCTATCTTCATGGTTCATTGCAGAGACAAGTGACTGGTCACAACAGCTCAAGGAAAGGGAGGGAGAAGACGAGCCACTTAACATTTGATGAACACCAAACATCAACAGAAGAAGCTGTTCGATTTTTGTATTTTCCATTGCTTTGTTTTAAGCTCTTTTCCAGACAACAACACTCTCTGGATGCAGTAAGAGGGACATCTAGAAGAAGGTAAGAAAGAGGCCCTTAGTTAATCATCATAGTGTTTTTTTTTTTTTTTTTTTTTGCATGTTCTTGGCTAATTATTGTTGAATCAGATTCAAAGACAGTTTAAAAACTGAAAGCAAGTTTCCTGTTTCTGTCCTTGAGAGAGATTCATGAATGGAGCAACCATCTCTCCTCTCTTGTCTAATTTTGGTTTTCTTCTATTCATTTCCAAAGATTACAACCTGTATAGCATTCTGAAATGATTTTACATCATATGTTCACTTTCACTGCTTTGGCAATGTGGCTCATAAGACCGGACAACCATCGACCACGACCCCTTTCGCGGTGGGACAAGACGCGAAGGGACAGGTGTCGTGGTCGCTGCCGTTTCCCAACCAGTTCAGTCCGATGTCGTCTCTGCGTTGAAGAGCCAAGAACAGAAGTATGGTCATGAACGCAGTTCCTGCGTCCAGACCCCCGGACAAAACGTAGTTATACTTCTTCCACCATTCCCTACGGTACTTATACACGAAATGCCCGAAAACAACCGCAACAACGATCCAGCTCGTGAAATTCACGGCTGTAGCGGGTGGCATCATTGCGGTTGCACCCACAAGGACAGGAATATGGATCTTTGGGATCCATGTCTGAGACGGGAAGGCTTTGGTCGCTGACCAGACCATGAGAGGAGCGACTGCACCGCCGAGGAAGAACCAGTTCACTTTGGAATATTCTCCGAGATCACCAAACATCCTGCGTGGTCCGACCAGTCCCCAGATCACGGAAGCGTCAAAGAAGACACGGTCCATGGGACATGTCCATTGGCTGTCCGGAGGAAGGAGAGATGTGTCACAGAGATGGGGAATATCCGCCATTAACCACCAGGCAGTTGCAGTGTAAACCACAACAGCTACAAGCGTTCCCACAACCTGAATCAAAGTTGTTATTACAGACCATTGTTCTGAAACTCTTGTCGTCTGAAAAAGAGAAGTGAATTGAAACTATGGAGAAACAGACCTGTGCCATGAACATGCTTCTTGGAGGAATCTTCATGTAATGCCCAAGCTTGAAGTCAGATATGAAAGTTAGCGCCTGGGTCATGCTTATGTATCCATAAACCTTGAAGCACATGTTTGCAACCGGACGTTCGGGGTAGATATAACCTATCACATACTCGGTAATAATGTTCAAACCCGGTGCCTGCAGGATCGAATTCACAGCCCGTAAGTACCTACCGTGAAATTCCACGAAAGAACCAAGAAACAGAAAGATAGAATGAGAAATTCCTCGAACCTGGTTGGTGGTAGCGGCTATAACACCGATAAGAGGGGTGAAAAAAACGGCGATAGCACAAGCAAGTAACACTCCCCACCACGGGAGTTGCACAGTTGCGTTATAATGCACGGAGATGAACATGATGAGCCCGATATTGAGGACGAGGATCACGAGAAACCACAACATCGGGACTTCTCTGTAGTTCTTCTTCATGATCTTCGTGTGTATATCCATTTTCTTGTTCCTCTTGAAAGCTCCTCTCGTTTGCTTCCATAGATCACTGTGGAGAGAAAGATAAAGCTGAAAACTTTAACAACTGATAATGTTTTCGAGACGAAAGATGGGTTTGATTACCTTCCATTGAAGAGCAGAACATGGACAATGGTAGCGGATAACGTTGCAAACCCGAGACCATAAGTCATAGCGAAGAAGGTACTCATGTGGATAGGCCCTGTCTTGGCGTAGACATCATGGTCTAGCTCGAACTTCTTGTCGATGATGCTCAAAACATTGTAGTCTAAGCCGTTGGACATGAAAAGCTTGCTGGAGAATATAGGAAAGGTCTTGGCTTTGTAAATATCAAGCCAGTACCAGATCGGTGAGGCCACATACATGATCAGAACGAAGCCGATGGCTACATTGACGGTGGCAAACAATGGACTGGCGAGAGGGCTACCAAGGTAAGAAGAAATTGTGGCCCAGTCAATGCCAACGGCTCCGATACCGAGTCCGTGAAGTCCTGAACCGAGCTGGTTGACCAGAATGGATCTGGGTCCGAGCCAACATACCCATGATATGGACGTCAACATGGTGAATAAATAGCCTGGAAGCACGTAGTAGGCGAAACTGGCGACGAGCACGACGAGGAAGAACTGAGTTCGAGTGGTGCCTCCTCTTGTCCTCTTCTCTTTCTCGTGCAAGGCACTGTGATTTTTTTTTTTGGGGGGGGGGGGGAATTTGAGACATGAGAAGGTAACAGAGACAGAAGCAGTTTACATGTTAAATTGCAGAAGTACCTGAAGAGAGAGACTTGAACGAGATTGCTCGGCCACCACATTTCACCAGGCTCCACGAGATGTTTCCTGAACAAACCCGCCCAACCAAATCCAAGAACCTGGCAGCGTAATACACGTTTCGTTCGATGATCCCATCAGGAAAAGGATCAAACTTTGGAACACTACGCTCAATATCCGTACACTTCCAAATCAATCGGACACAACAGATCAAGAACTGAACAGAGCACATAAGATTCAAGTGTGTCTCAGGTAAAACCAGAAACAGAGGAGACCCGTTCACGCTTCATACGCCAAAAATTCTCAGTTTTTTTTTTTGGGGGGGGGGGTGAATTTGAGACATGAGAAGGTAACAGAGACAGAAGCAGTTTACATGTTAAATTGCAGAAGTACCTGAAGAGAGAGACTTGAACGAGATTGCTCGGCCACCACATTTCACCAGGCTCCACGAGATGTTTCCTGAACAAACCCGCCCAACCAAATCCAAGAACCTGGCAGCGTAATACACGTTTCGTTCGATGATCCCATCAGGAAAAGGATCAAACTTTGGAACACTACGCTCAATATCCGTACACTTCCAAATCAATCGGACACAACAGATCAAGAACTGAACAGAGCACATAAGATTCAAGTGTGTCTCAGGTAAAACCAGAAACAGAGGAGACCCGTTCACGCTTCATACGCCAAAAATTCTCAGGAAAAGCACGAAACTTTTGGAAGACTATGCACCGAATATGTGCACTTTCGAAGAGAATGACTGACCTGAGTAGTGATCATGACAAGAAAAGCAGGAAGAAACGGGAGTGCCCTTTTGTAATAAAGCTTAATGGCGCTGAGAATATGAGTGGCGTAGACAGAACCAGCACCGGAGTTGGCGAAGATGGTGATGAGAACATGTTCCTTGACGTTGAAGGGACCAGGGTTCAGGCTAAACTCCCACCTCGTACCTTCCAAGTACTTGCTTGTCGGGAGAATCCGAGCCATGAGGTGGCCGAGCGGCACGACAGCGATCTGAGCGGAGATTCCGCTGATGCTCAGAGGCATGGTCCTGTACCAGAAGAACTGGTTCACGAAGGAGAGTACAATGCACGCGCCCAGACCGAGAACCCACATTCTGAAAGTGAGGACAGGTATCGTCGGATCGTCCGTCTTCGGGACCGTGAGCTCCACTTGCTCCACCACGCACCTATCTTCGTCTTCTCCGTCACCGTCTATCTCCATGGCTATGGCCTCTGCTGCTACTTCAGTACCCATGTTTTTTTTTTTTGCACGAGCAGTGAGTGAATCTTTACGCCGCAGTCTCGGGTTCGGATTCTATCTTTTAAGAGAATTACCTAAAGCTTTCTCCTTCACTAGATTTTAAAATTTATCATAAATTATATAAAATTATGCAACTAGAAATAGAGGGTTTTTTTTTATAAAAAAATTACAAAAAGGATAAGAGGGATGGGCAAAGATCGCGTGGGAACGCGAATGTGGAAAACACAGCTGAAAACAGCTAAGAAACTACAGTATTTTCAATTTAAATAATAATAATAATAATAATAATGGTAAGTCAGGGATATTTATAGGACATGTGAACAGATATTAAATGCACATATGAAACTAATACCCAATATTAAGGGGATTTCGGGGGGTTCAATGATTTATAGTTAAAATCGTATTTAGTCGTTACTTTTTTGTCAATTAGCTTTTCCAATCATTTGGTACAAATTACATATTCGGTTCTAATATTCTTCCGAGTAATATATATATTATTTAAAAAAAAAAGAGAGGGATAATAAAAGCCAAGCCGAGATGGTTCAAAGACAAAGTGAGGTAGGTGACAAAGACAAAGACTTTTGTATCGTCATCAGTCATATGAATCTGTCGCATCTGCTTTTAATGAAAAACACACCATTTTTCTCGAGAAATTAAATAAGAGAAGATCGCAACTTGTACAACCTCTTCAAATTACATGTGCCGCTTGATTTCCACGATTTTCATCACTTCAAAAAGGATAAAATTCTTATAAAATAAAAACAATTTCTTTAAAAAAAAAGATTTATAAATTCAATCAAATATGAACTAAAAAAAATATGAAAAGAGATGCATGTTGTGTTTTTAAACTACTTTCCTTGGGCTTTTGAGATGAACACTATGTGGGGCCCAAGAAAAGAACCCTGCAACTAGATTTCAAGAAATGAAATTGGGCTTTTTTTTTTTTTTTGGAGTCTAATCAAATCTAGGCTCTAACAAAATAAAATATTTATTTTGTTTGCATTGTAATGAAAAGGAAATCCACTAAGTGGTGGGAAAGTGTGTCTTAAATCACTTTAGAAAAGGAGAGTGGTAGACCACCACGCCACTACTACTTGTGTCCAATGAAGGGTCAATGGTTTGGTGTACCGATCTTCTACTTCCACCCCCATATATTAGACTATATTGCATAGTTTGGTTTACTCGGTTTCTATTCGATTATATTTAGATTTGATTATTTCGATTTTAAAAAACTATAGTAGTTTGTTTTTTATATTGAATTCAATTCGATTATGATAAAAAAATATTTATTTTTTAAAAAATATTTTACGAATTTTTTGATTATTTTTTATTCGATTTTATTCGAATTCGGTTTTAAAAATTATAAACATTCCATTTTTATAACTAATTTGATTCGGCTATAGGTATATATTATTCGATTCGTATCGGTTTGGTTATTCGATTATTACTCAAAAAAGTCATTCCTAATATTGGATGCATTTTTTTTCTAAACAAACCAAAAAATATGAAAAGGTAATATATGTATATAATAGTGAGTAGACCCAAAATTCTCTAAAGATCTTGTTGGAGGGGAAAGTTAGTGTTATTATGGAGAAGAAGAAGAAAATCAGGAACCAAGCCCATAGTGAAACCCATTAAAATGGGCCTTCTTGTATCTCGGCCCATCTTATAAAAAGCCCATTGGTCCAATACTAAATTATATACAAGACATCACAATGACACACGCATACGTTATTTGTACATTTATACACAAGTTCGACCAGATTTTTTTGGATATTATAGAAGTTAACCGAGTTTTTAGTCCGACTATAATCCAAAGAATCGAAAAAATCCATATGAATATCTCTTTTCTATTAAAAATTCAATCCGAATTGAAAAGAAACTTTGCTTTCTTTTACGAGTTACCAAATCTTGGTATATTCGAGCAGTTTTATTTACTCATTGATTTTTGAATAATTAGAACTCGACCTGCTTTTATAGTCTGGTCCCCCAAAAACAAAGGTAAAGAATTATATCTAATTTGAAAATTAGAATTCTTTCAAATTTAAGATTATAATTCCACGAAAAAAAATAAAATCTCATGTTAATATAAGGACTTATAAAAATACCAAATAAATACACAAATTTTAAAATTTCTAAAAAAATATCGTACATTAAAATGTAAACTTTTAAATAATCACAAAAAATTATCAGTTTTTGAAAATCGTTTAAAATTTTAAATCATTCCGTCATCCCATGCACAGGAGGACCCCCACAAATAGTTTAATTTTATTATTTTTTAAAAATTTAGGGTTTAATATAGGAGTGAAGAAGGTTTTATATATTTATTTAAAATTTTAAAATTCGTATAACTATTTGAGATTTTTAAAGTCGTGCAATAATCAGTAATTTTCATGTAATTATATATTCAATTTATTTTAAAAATCTACCGTGGAAAAAATAGGGATAATTTAGTTAATTATTTATAATCCAAGAAATAGTTAAACACAATTAAGAATAGTTACAGACACGAACTAATCGTGGGAATATGGATTAGATTCTCTGTTTGGGCTTTCTTCAGAATTTCAAGTCCTAAAACAAAAAACCCATTAAAGTCACAAGTTCGTCGCTGCACGGCGTGACGTGATCTCGTCGAAAATAAAAATCGAAACTTTCATGTAGCTGTAACCTAATTTTCCACGGAAATTCTCTGACTTTCTCGCTGCCCAAACAAGTTTTTTCCCCTTCAAAATCCAAAAGGAAAAAAATTCCCTGAAAATCCTGTCGGTATCAAAGCAAAGGATCTGTTGAGGGGCTTTCGTCAAAAACCTGGATCATCAATTGTAACTTTACTTCAAGTTCGAATTTCAGATCTTTTATCGGTTTTGTCACCATTTTAGTGGTAACAATTGACTCAGAGCTTCTGTAAAATTTTCTTTCCGAAAATGGCGTGTTTTTCTTACCAATTCCAATCAAATAATATTTTATTTTTTTATATAATTAAATATTAGTATTGCATAGTAATCTGCTCTCTCTGTCCTCTCTATTTGTTTATCGAAATCCTGGTGTATCGTCTGGAATATCTAATCTTGCACGCTAACATCTTAGCACTGTTTGTGTTCTTATCCTCTGTTTTCAGACACTGAGTTTGGAGCTGGTGAAGAAGTGATTCTAGAAAGGTATGTTTTCTCTCTCTCTCATGTCTGTCTTTTTTATGGGTATCCTCTTCTTCTTTCTGAAAGCCCTAAAGTCTCCATGCGGGATTTGGTCTCTGTTCTTAACTCAAGGAGGTTTTTCCTGCAATTTTCTGCTGGAAAGGTGCAATCGATCACACTTTGAAAGTGTTTGATCAAATGGTTGAGTTGGTAGGTCCAAGACTGTATAGTTGCTGCAACTGCAGGAACCATGTTGGCCTTCACGACGACATCATCTCTAAGGCCTTTCAGGTGAATCTGCTTTGTTTGATTACCCCCTCCCTCTCCCTCTCTCTCTCCGCGCTTCTACTTGTGATACCTTGAGACTAAGCAGAGAACTGAGTTTAGGGCCGACAAAAGATGATCTGAAGCTGAGACTTTGGCTTTGTATTCCGGATTTAAGGAATGCCCTTGATTTGCTGTCATTTGTAATTGTAACCGGAATTCACTTTTTTACCGGCCCTAGCGTCCTGCAAGAACTTGGGATGAAAACAAGGTCTCAAACTTTAGTCTACTTGTGGCATAGGATTCATTAGGTGACTTCAAAGGTGCTTGCTTTTGTACATTCTTATGTGCCCAGATGATTCAACTGAAGCAAAAGTATTGGAAAAGTTCAGTAATCCTTTGAAATGTGCTTGTGATTGGCTGTAGAAGCAAAAAAGAAAAAAACCCGGATTGGATTAACATATGGTCAGACAAAAACTCCTGGTTTCTTGTCCTCTTTGTGATTGTGAAAACATTCAGCAACCGAATCTTTGGTCATGGTCCTTCATTGACAGGGAAGAACCGGGCGAGCCTTCTTGTTCTCCCATGCCATGAACATAGCGGTAGGGCCTAAAGAAGACCGGCATCTCCTAACAGGTCTCCACACGGTGGCTGACGTATCTTGTGCAGACTGCAACGAAGTTCTTGGATGGAAATACGAGCGAGCATACGAAGCCTCACAGAAGTACAAGGAGGGGAAGTTCATACTCGAAAAGGCCAAGATCGTCAAAGAAGATTGGTAACAAACCATGTTGAATTCATTCTTGGGTTTGGCTAAAACAATGTACATAGATTATCCGCTTTGTGTTTCAGTTCTTCATCACCTGTTTCGGTCTTTTTCTATTGTCCAGTGTGATTGTTCTGTCATGCCTTGTGTGTCTGTGATTATGGTTGGATGTATAAATAAAGATGGTAATATAATTTATTGATGTATCTTTGATTTGCTTTTAACATCCTTGAAGGTAAATTGATCTGATAAAATCAGTGACAGATTTCTTTTGAGTTGCTTGGAAGATAACCAGGAAGCAGAGGAGAAGGCAAAACACAGAGCCTTAAAAGGAAAAGAAATGCGTGCCGTTTTCCGTCAGCCACAGAACAGCTAATTTAGATAACGTGTTGTTTTATATTAGCACTCGCCAACTGACCGCCGTCTCGGCGTGATACGATTACGAACTTTTTGAAGCCGAGCGACCGAGAGAGAGAGGAAGAGGGGTCAGAGATGTATCTGAAGAGGCCTATATGGAGCGAGGGCTCACCGGCGCCGGCGGGGCCGGAGGCGCTGGAAAACGGCGAGGAATCGGCTGCGGAAACGGTGGTTGAGGAGCTCGTTAGCTCTCTCAAGATGCAGAGAACCTACAGAGAGCTGACGCTGTCCCTTCGGACCGGTTTACGCGATGCTTGCGCCGAGTTCTCCTTCCTCCGCATCCGTGGACTCCGATCTCTCCTCAAATCTCTTCAATTCGTTGCGCAATCGGATTCAACTATCCACCTCTTTTGTCACACCCAAACCATCCCCGATCTCCAATGTCTGATGCAACGATTTCTCGTTTGCCGATTTTGAATTGCCGGATTTATGTTTCCTGATGGTAGTTTGTAATTCGCAGTGGTTCCGGTGCTGTTTCGGCACTCATTGAGAGAAACTGAGGATGACAGAGTGACAAGCTTGGATCACATATTCAGCGTTGAGCCGATGAAGATAACGAGTCCTTCCACGGATGCTGAAGTCGCCCTTGCACTTAGGGTTCTTGAAGGATGCTGCCTTCTCCATCCTCAGAACACTGTTTTGGCTCATAAGCACAATGCAATCCGCGTAAGTTCGCTTTTACTTAGTCTATTCCGAACGAATGATCAAATGGGCAAAGGTCATTTCTTGATCAGACGCATACAACTGTAGGAGAGTCCCCGAATTTACATTGCGAAGTCACTGTTCTCTATGTTGGTGAACTTGGAAATGGAGAGATTGCACTTGTTATGAAACAAAAAAAAGGAATATTTATGTTCAAGAAATGTCTTGCATAGGATTTCCCTTTTCTTGGCAAGCTGTTTAATTGGCGTTAGATTTCTACTCCTTTAAGCTGTAGTTGGTGGCGAACTGATAAGATTGAAAGTTCCTTGCTTGTTAGCTTCTGCTAGTTATTTAGGTAGGCGAGTTATTGATGTCTCCGTGAATTTCAGGTATTGATGAATGTGTTATCAGCACGAGGAGTTCTCGAGCAAGGTGCTTGCTTGGACGCTTTGATCTCAATAATGCTTGATTCATCAGCAAATCAGGTGGTATGTATTGTGAACTGGGTTTGTGAGTCTATCCTGTTTCTTAGTTAACGAGTTTTCAGCCATATTTCTGTTGATAATTCCGGAAAATTTGGCGATTAATCACAACAGACCCCATTGGACTGAGGCGAAGATACATCTAAACCTGTAGATAAGGCTGCATCATATGTCAATCAAAATGGCTTTTTTGCTCTGGTTTCCAATTTTACTGTGTACATAACTTTCTTAGGCTGTGGTTATATCAATCACGGACTTTTCTTATTTTCGTAAAAATCTCTCCTTATTCCTGTACCAGGATTTTGAGGCCTGCAACGGCATTGAAGAAGTTGCAATGCTCATACGAGATAAACAAGCTGATGAGAACCTCAGGTGCGTTCCATTTCACGATTTCCCTTACACTGTTCTCTTCTATTACAAACAGTTAGCGTGGGTCGTCTTGGTGGGATGCGGCCTTTCTTATACCATTTCTTTGAACTTTATCTTATAACACCATTGCCACAATATCAAATGCTGTCCTGACCTTGGATTTTTCCATATAGCGTCGGAAGAAAGTATCTCCATGCTTCCAGTAAATCATCTCGCATGAAATTTATTGTTAGAAACACAGAGTAGTCTTCTCATAGCCTCGTCGATCTTCCTAAGTATGAATGTTTCGCTCATGCTTCCCCTTCACATAGATCTGCCTACCCAACTTCACACTTTTAAGCTCTGCAAACAATGTTTCATGTCAAGACTTTGGCTTTTGCTTTGTGTTGGGGGTTTGCTCATATTTATAACCTGAAAGGTAGTGATAAAAACGGATACTTTCCACTGATCAGGTTAAAATGCGGGGAGTTCTTACTTCTGCTCATAGGGCATGTGAACGGGAAGGATCGTTCACCAATGGCGAGTGTACACGACGACGTCCGGCGACTTCTGGGTGAAAAGTCTGCTTCTTTGATATGGGCAGCCAGTCAATTTGGTTCAACCCTTGATCCCGAACAAAGAATGACCGCTCTCCATATTCAGGCCCGTAGAGTGCTCGAGTCCCTGGACTTGTACTGAATGTGAGAGAGCTTCTTTCTTTCTGTTCATTTGTACAAATTATCATTCCTCTGTTAGTTGCTGACTGACCTTCCCTCTCTCTCTCTCTCTCTCGTTAAAAGGTCGTAATTTCGACAAGTTTTTAAAACTTCTCTTTTGGGCTTAAAACCCAAATAAAAAAATCGAAAATGAAGGGATTTATTTATTACCAAAAAGAATTACGAAAATAAAAGGTAAATAAATATTGTTACTGCGCACATTTGTTGGAATTTTGATTACTTGAATTTCTGGCACTTGAACATTTCGTATGGTCAGAGGGAAATGTAAAGGCACCAACAATAATTATAGTTTTGAGTCGGAATTTCATGACAATATATGAAATGACGAGAAACTCTTAAATAAATATATGAATTTTGTATGCGAATAAATTAATTATTAAATTTTTTATATAAATAATTGAGTTTTTACAATTCTAAAAATGTTAAATTAAATGATAGTTAAAATATTTATATCAATTAAAAAAATATTAGTTTGGTTGGTCGATATCATGTAAGATTGCTGGCTTGGTGGTGGGTGAGAGTCCAGCTAAGCGTCATAGATCCGACGGATCAGATGCGCGCCCACTGTAACACAGTGGTGGTCCTTTCCTCAGGCTGTAATTACTCCCACCACCTCCTTCTTTATTATGTCTCGTCTCGTCTTTGGATAAAAATAAAAAAGGTTTCCGGAAATTATTATTATTTTCTCTTCTTCATGTCACATATCGGATGGCCCAGAAGGCTCGGTTCAGATGGGTTATTATTAATTTAGATTCCATTATTTTAGGTTTTGAAAATTTATAATCAAATGATTATTTAATTTTATTTGACTCGGTTTGATTTTGATTTCGATTTGATTCGATTTTATCTACTTGAAATTATAAATTATAATTTCAAATAAAGATTTGGTTCGGTTCAATTATAATATTTAAAAAGTTTCAATTCGTTTATGAAATAAGAATATTCAAAATATATATATATATATAATACAATTATGATCATGTTAACGTATGAAAAAATAAAATTTAAATTCATGTATTGATTTGTTTTGACGTAAAATAACAAAATAAATAAAAAGATTCATAAATGTAATGTATCGGTTTTCATTTTTCGGTTTCGATTTGACCGACCATATCGATTTCAAAACGTTTGCCTTTATTGGTATCGAAATAGATTTTTGTTTGTGTATATCTACTATCTAGTTGAATTCCGGCAAACGAAATGAAATATCTATCCCTTGATATATATATATATATATGATATCAGAACTACAAATTAAATCATAAAAAAAAATATCTAAGTATAACGCTCCGAAACCGTTACATTATTGTCCAAGTGTATAAAGCATTGATTCACTAAAGAAGAATTTGATAGCGGATATAACAAATTAGGCCTATGTATTACCATATCTGTATATATTTTCTATTATTGTCCAAGTGTATATATATGTGATCAATGAGAATACAAAGGAAGGGAGATTTATGCCAGGTTTCAGAATTCACGTACTACCATATGTAAAAATTCTCGTGAATCATAATTATGCTGTTTTTTTTTTTTTTTTGCATGGAGGGATTGGTTTGAGTGCGTACAATCGGTCAGTAAGTCTTGTCCTAACATCACCAAACACCGCCACGAGTAATAACCCTATCCTTCTCTTTTTTTTTTCTTTTTGTGTTTTGTTTTTCATGAACCCAAACCCTAGAAAGATATACACGTAATTTTTCACATATATATATAATATTATTTGGTACCATTTCTGCATATATCCATGTTTTTTTTTGTGAGAATCTATTATCTATGTTATATTTCTTCGTTGTCTTTTTTTTTAAAAAACTTATATGATCCAAATGACCAAACATTCCATAAATTTCAGGTTTCAAAACATTATTTCTCTCTGTGCATATTTAAACTAAAATTGATACAAACGTCGATGTTTATTTAAAGATAATCGTTAGCTTTTGTCAGTTATTGAAGTTTAACAGGTTAATATATATATACTCGAATGAATTTTAGACATGCATTTCTATTATTTGATTTGTACTAACGATAGCACGACAGTGACTGTTGCCACAAATTTCCGAAATACGTATATGAGTACAACGTGATATGTCACATAGGTTTATGTATTATTTTCTTTGCCTCAAATTTCACATGTAGTGAACGCTTACATGCACATGCGAGTTTACAATATATGTTACATATTCACCCGCACAAATATACGAGTGTGTATATATATGGGCATGGGCGGATCTATGTTATGAGTTATGGGGCATATGCCCCCACTCTTTTATTAAAAAACTTAACTTCATTATAAATTTGATAAATTTTTAACAAAAATTGTTAATTAAATGCCCCCATAAAAAAATTAAAATTTATCTCTTAAATTATAATAATCTTTATATTTCTCCCATGGATAAACTTTTCTAGGTCCACCCATGTATGTGAGTGTGTGTGACGTGGAATTCCTCTGTGGACATATTTAGAACACCTACACGGTGGTTTTTACCGTAAATTCATTTATTCATGGTTCAAGATGTGGGGTATATACAGAACGAGTGGTCCATTCGGAGAAATATATATTTGGTGAACAAATTTCCATATGATTAAAAAAAAAAAATTCTCGTTTCCTTTTTCTTCTTTATCAGATTTGTAGTTTTCACAATTAAAACCTTGTCTAATATTTTTGGACAAATCCAGTAGTAAAGTTCAATTGTATTTAGGATTGTAAATTCTATCTGTAAATGTTTTTATTATGGAAAACAAAAAACAAAAATCCTATAACTTGGATTTGAATACCTGTGAAGTGATTCAATGTACTTTGATTTCTTATTAATACATGATTGTATGATTATTTAACAAATGTTATCGTGCAATACAAATTTACTTGTAATTTATACACTAAACATTTAATTATTACCTATTACTAAATATAAATTAAATTATAATGAAACATGAACTAAAATTTTGATAATATAATATAGACCCTAATAAAAAATATACATTTCAATAGGGTAACCCAGATGAAGTATATCCATAGTTTTCAACAATTTAACGTAGAACCCTACGTAAATGCCCAAAAGGGAAAAAAAATTCTATTTTAAAAAATGGTTAATTAACTTAAGAGATCTTTTAATAATCCTGGCATCGGTATCAATATAGATACTAGAGAATCTCCCAAAAGTCAACTTGACCGCATGGACGCACAATATCACACGTAATATAGATATAATTAATTGAAAATATGAATTTGTTTTATCAAATATAAAAAAATGTCAATTTTAAATTAATTAATTTAAGTTAAGTTTAATAGCTGCACTAATAAAAACACGTATCGAGTGCATGTCTCGATACTACGGTTCATGGCATGCATTGCTTGGTTCATTGTATCCAAAGCTCCAAAATATTCCATATTTAATATAAATGATGAAATAAAACTCTAAGTTCAAGTTAAAATCGTAAGGTATTGGAATGGAAATAATGGAGAGTCTTAGTTTGCACCAAACATTTTATAGATATTTTCACGACTACAAACATTTTAGTTGGCAAATTATACATGATTAGCATGAATGAATTTTTTTTATATTCATGATATTTTTTGGATATGATTTTTCATTAATTTGAATACATCAAATTTTATGGTGCAAATGCTTTGGGATAATCGTTTTTTTTTTTGTGAAAGGTGAATGTAATATATAAAATGAATACAATATCTCAAGGTTTATAGGATATGAAATCAGTCACGTGACCTATGCTTACAAAAGATGTTTTTCGTTTTTTATTCCACGACAAAGTTGAATATGATAAATGTTTACCAAATCAGCAATAATCTGAATGTGGTGATTAATCATGAACTTAATATGATGAATTTACATGAATTATTATTTGAAATTCGCTCATACTAACTAACGGAGTCGGTCCATTTGTTTTCTTATCAACAATGCTTTGTTTTCTCTAAATACTTAGTTTAAATTTGAGATATAAATTTATAAAAAAATAATTATTATTTTTTTAATCTAGTTTTGGTTTGGTTTTTGTCGGATTTTAACTCTTTATTATTTTTTGGGTAGGGTTTGAGCTAGTCATATATGGAATATTCAATCAGATTCTATGTTACCGTTTTGTTCGGAATGGATTCGAGGTTAATTAAATCAAATGCAGCGTTAACGACGATCATTCTTTAATCTTTTTCTTACATTATTTAATTAATTAATGATGTCGGCAGAGTGTTTTTTAGGTTAATTACCCCTTGACTTATTTGTTTCATGTATATAAACGCGACCATGAAGGTCGTATTTACTTTTGGCAAAACGGTATGGTAATTAGTTATGTTATAATAATTAAATCTGGTAATTAAGGAAGGCTGTCTGTTGAACATATAATAATAATAATAATACCAATTACCAAACGTTAATCAACCACAAGCCATGTATGAAGTGGCCATAGCATCTTAATATATTATTTTATTTTTTCCATTACGATTTCATGAAAAACATCCAATCAAATAAAATAACAATATATATATATATATATAAGTGGTCGTGCGTTTTTATCTTATATTTAAAACTTTATTCTTACCAAAGGAATTATCTGTTGCTTAACAAGCATGCATGCCACATCAGCACATTATCGTAAACAAATAAAATAAGGTCATAAACATACATACATATGATACATACATACATACATACATACATACATACATACATACATACATACATACATACATACATACATATGCATGCATGATATATGCGAGCGTGCATGGAGATGTATACGCCTAAACTTCGCCTTACAAAATAAAAATGGTAATTAAGTTAAGTTAGTTCGTCCAACATTATTCCTAGTACGTATCGTTATAACTTATAACTATTAAACTTTAAATTACGTTACGTATCATATATATATTTGTATATATATACACATCCAAACATGCATGCACGGTATAATTAAAGTAATTAAACTGCAATTAATTTAAAAAATTAATAATCGTTTGCTGTTTACCCGTGACCGACCCGGCCGACCTTGCCGGTTTTTTCACACGCACAAGCGATACATTATACACACATATGTGCTCTCGTATAGTATTTTATATACAATATATATATACACGTTGAATATATATATATATATATATATATATATATATATATCTCGATTTTGTAATTCAATGTCTCGATACAAATAAATCCTTCAAGTTGTAACAGAAAACTGTTGCTTTGGGATACACCAATTAATAAAGTACGTGTTTCTATATATTTAAAGATAAAAAACAACAATAAATTTTGTTCATATATACTTTTATACCATGTATATATCTATATGATACAATCGGTACGAGTGCATATTCTGGTTTAATTAACAAATAACACATAATTTGAAGATTAAAAAAAATAAGTTGAATAAAAATATAGTTGTGTATAAAAATAATCTAAAAATCGAATAAATTTTTTTATAAATTAAAATTTTTAAGTAAAAATGAACTGGATTAAACTAAATCAAAATAAAGTTAAATCTTTGTAAATTTTCAACATATTAAACAAAAAACTAAAATATTCACTTTAAATATTAACGTTCTGTCGCACACGTATCTTTTTTTTCTCATCCTAAAAATTTATTTTCGAAAACATTTTTATTTAACCAATAACCAATGAAAGTATAAAAAGGAAGTGGAAATAAATAATTGTAAAATTATGTAGACTAACAAATATTCTCTTTACAATACAAGCCTGCACAAATCCAGGTAAGCTGCCTTTGCAACTCTAAAGACTAAAGGCAATTATATTTTTTATTTTTATTTTATTTTTGTTGCTTCAAGAGGAAGACAAATTGCTCATCCATGACGGTCCATTATATAAAATTATGCTGATCTAATTAATTATAATGTAATCGATATAGTACATCTCATGTTAACTTTGTCGGTCCTTATTCTCTCTATCATGTTTGCTTATTCGGTCAATTATTATCAGCATATGTTCCATTATATATCAAATTCCAAAATGTAATTTTTTATTTTTAATTTTGATGTAAACCATAGATTATATATAATATTGTCAATGCAAAAAACAAAAACTTTAGAGTTTAGAGGTTTGGTAATGCAAAAAAAAAACCTATAAAGTAAAAAATATTCAATTGATAGGAGATTCCAAACAAAATAAAGCAAACAAATGAATGATTAGAGAATCAAAACATCTGGAAATTCCATTGGTTATGTTACAGAAGAGATAATTGAGATTTGCATTATGGTCGAATCCTAACAAAGTGAATGGGGGAACATGCCGCGTAGTCATCATGCAGATATGTGGGGTCCAACTAGGCATGTCCACAAATTATTATTAAAAAACTATATATTAAAATTTTAAAACAAAGTGCAGAAAAGAATTAAATCATATAGAAAAAAGTATAATCGTAGAAAAACGATTGATGGATACAATTAGGTATCTATTTGCATGACGGATTGCCCCACGACCACTGTTACATATCTTGGCATCATCTCTCTGTCTCTACACATATAGATCGCTCCAAAAACTTATTACAATAATATTTCCACGTCTTTTTCGTACGAATATTTCAAAGTTCAATGAGCCAAATAATGATCAAATTACAAAGTAATTAATCCTCTCGAATATCCATTTGATTTTTATATTGTTTTTTATATCTCTAAAAAAATTACCCGTGTTCATTTTTTTATTAAAAAATGTTGACTTTTAAAAACAGAAATTTTATTTATTTTTATTCTATTAGGTTCATTAATTTGAATTTAAAAATTATAACTATCAGTATCTGACTTGTATTCAATTATTTCGAATCAAATATTTATTTATATTTTTGGTAAAACTTGTTTTTTTTATATTCAACGCGCCTCATTGGAGGGGTTTTCGTAATATTTTTCCAATTACAGTCGAAATATAAATCAGGTTCAATTTTAGAACCGATTTTTTAATTGTAACTATATACTAACAATTTTGAATACAAGTCAAACCATTAGTTAAATAAGTGCACACACACATGCATACATACATACATACATACATACATACATACATACATACATACATACACACACATTCGATAAAATCGTATTCATCAAACGTTTATGAAATGACCATTTTCTGTTCGTTGAGTAAGATTATACATTAATGTGAGTGAGAAATCTCGGATTACTTTTAGATATAAATAATTTTACAATATTAATTGATTGAGAATGATTGATGATACAGCCACGACGTGGGAAATCTTGTTTATTATAAAATACTTTTTGATTATTATGGAGCATGAGAGATCTATAAAGATCTTAAACCCTTTGCAATTAAGGAAATTAAAAGATTATTAGAGAAAGTGTAATAACCTCGTGCAGTTAATAAATTAATTACGGAAAATAAATTGAGAGAGAGAGAGAGAGAGATTTAAAAAGGGGACTGTAGAAATATATACAAGCACACATATATATATATATATATATATTCGACTCTCTTCCAGAATCTCGTTCCTCGGGCCATCTTCTTCTTCTTCTCCTCTCCTTTCTATATCTTTCTTCACGGATTTCAAGGAGAGCTTGATCCTTTTTTATTTATTATTCTTATTCTCTTTAATAGTCTTCTTAATCTCCTTCTCTCTCTCTGGTTCGGTCTCTCATGGTTTGACAATGGCGGCTGCTGCTGCTGCTGCTGCTGCTTATTCGGACCGTGTTTGTACCGGTTCCGAAGAAACCTCGTAGAGACAAGAAAACCCATGTAAGAAAATTTTAATCTTTTCTTCTTTGTTTAGCGATTACGCATTTTTTGTGAGGATCTCTTTCTTGGGATATACTAATGAGATCTTCAATTTTACGGAGGTTAATACGGCTTCTCTGTGTGCTCCAAGACTGTTCTATTTTTTTTTGTATTTGATTAATATATGTAAGTTGTTTGTGAAATTGCCTGAGAGAGAGAGAGGGAGAGACCAGGTTCGATGGTTTTGGATTGGGATTGGGATTGATGTTTATCTCCTGTTTTGTTTACAATATCGGCCTCTGTGCTTGGCGAATTCTTTTAAAGTTTCTCACTTTTCTTTCTTTTAAATTATGAATTTATATATAGTTCCCTGTAGGTTGCTTGGGTTGGAGGGACATTAACAGTTGGGGGAATTCCCTCGAGAGAGAGAAAAAGCATTGTTCTTTGAGCTGGGTTTCATGGAATGAACACCAAGAATAATGGATTGCTTCAGCCAAGAGGAAGACTTGCCGTTCTTTGATGCTAACGAAGAAATGGCATCGAATGGTTCCAATGGCGATACCTTCCATTTCGATGTACGGTACGGTTGCTCTGAAAGTGTTGTGGAGCGGAGGAAGAAGTTCTTGGAGTGGATGGGAGTCGATGAAGGTGGTCGTGTCAGTTCAGGGATTTCGGCTTCTGCGAGTAATGCAGAGCAAGAATTCGATAGATTTCGAGAAAATCACTCGGAGGCTGTGATGAGATCTGGAGATGGAGCTGGAGAATTCAGCAGTTCTTCTCAGTTATCGTCGTTTTCGTCCTTGTCTGGTTCAAGTATGGATCTTTCTGGCGAGTTGTCTCTAAGGGTAGATGAAACGAGAGCTTATAGCTCTTCCATGGCGTCGAGTTCTGATTCAAGATGTTGTCAGGGGAAGGAAAGTAATGACATCACAGGGCTAATCAGGAGTTTTAAGAAGGGCTGGTTTCATAGGCTGCGTTCTATGGGGTGTGCCACTGGTAAGGAGGTTGAATCGAGTACAATGAAAGCTTCTAGCTATGGAGGAGAAGAAGTAGTTTCTGGTGGCAGCCATTGTAGAGTTAAGGTTAAGCATTGTAGGAAGAAGGTTAAGGAACTTTCCGCTCTTTATCAGAGCCAATACATTAAGGCTCATGATGGTCCAATCACGACGATGAAGTTCAGCGATGACGGGAAGTATCTTGCAAGCGGTGGTGAAGACGGGGTTTTGCGCGTTTGGAAAATCGAGGAGGATAATCGATCAAGAAAACGGGATTTACCCAAGATAGAGACAGACCCTTCTTGCTTGTATTTTGAGGTGGATGATCAAGATCTTTCCCGGTTGAAACCAGTGAGGGTGGATGAGGAGAAGAAAACAAAGAGAAAGAACTTGAGGAAAGCATCAGAATCGGTCTGCGTTGTATTTCCTTCAAAAGTTTTCCGGATAATGGAAAATCCGATACACGAATTTCGCTTCCACACTGGTGAAATCCTTGACATCTCTTGGTCTAAGAACAATGTAAGCTTAGATTCTTCTACCTTAGTAGCTTTTTCTCATTATGGTTTTTGGAAGAAGGAAATTCAATATGACTGTTGCATCTTTTCTGTGTGCAGTGTCTTCTCTCGGCATCGATGGATAACACAGTAAGATTATGGAGAATCGGAAGCAATGATTGTCTCGGAGTTTTCCCCCACAATACCTATGGTATATGCTTCTTCGTGTTGGTGAATAAGCCTATACTCGACTTTGATATTATTCTGATCTGATGTATATTTCTTCTCTGCTTTTGGATTTGCAGTGACTTCTGTACAGTTCAACCCGGGTCACGAAAACTATTTTATCAGCGGTTCAATCGATGGGAAAGTTCGAATCTGGGAAATTTCGGATTGCAGAGTTGCTGATTGGGCCAATACCAGAGAGATTATTTCCGCAGTGTGTTATCGTCCAGATGGACGGGGTGGAATCATTGGATCTTTGGAAGGAAATTGTCGATTCTTTAACATGTCTGGAGATTACATAGAACTAGACTCTCAGATTCACTTGGTTAACCACAAGAAGTCATCAAATAAAAGGATAACCGGATTCAAGGTAATAACAGTAGTTCTGTTCCTCTGTGTTCTTACTCTTTTTTCTCTTATAGCGCTTATGTTAATCGATCTCTGCATGTTTTTCCAGTTCTTGCCACACGACCCGAGTAAAGTTTTGGTTGTTTCGGGTGATTCCCAAGTCCGAATTCTTCACGGGAACAACGTTGTCAGAAAATACAAGAGTATGATCCTTCTTCTGAATCTTTTACATTCTTCCTGTCCTGTTCGCAATCTTGATCACCATTTCTTTATCTGTCATTACACATACAACGCTTAAAACCTCGGGTTCTGAACTGAATTCACTTCTGTTTTGTCCTCAGGTCTTTGCAAGACGAGAAGCCTAACGTCGGTGTCTCTCACATCTGATGGAAAGCATATCGTATCAGCTTGTGAAGATTCCAATGTGTACATATGGAACAGCAGCGACAACACCCACGAAGAAGAATCTGATTCTTCTTCTTCCCAGATGAAAAAGATTCGATCTTTCGAATGTTTCTTGACCAATGCATCAGTGGCAACAACATGGTGCGGGTTCTCGTCAGAGGACAAGTCTCCTCGTCAAACTCCTCTCCCGCCCTCTTGCCTGTCTCAAGGGTTGGCCATGGGATCGGGTTTCAAAGGATGCGCGACTTGGCCAGAAGAAAATCTTCCTTCCAGCCCTTTCACCACGTTCAAGATGAATGTCTCCCCATACAAGACGAACTCCCTCGCTTGGGGAATGGTCATAGTGACCGGAGGTTGGGATGGACGGATCAGAACGTTCCAGAACTATGGCCTCCCTCTGGTCACGTAGCCGGCTCCATGATCCGAACCAGGTTGCCATTCTGAGATTTGGGAGTTATGGGTGGGTACGAACAGATCCATTATTGAGATTTCAGGAGATTCTCCAAGAGGGTTTTGAGCATGGTCCGCCAAGATCACTGGTTAGAAAGAATCATCGATCTGAGGATGAGGGAAAAGATTTTTTTCATGGAATGTGGCTTGTCCAAGGTGATTTCGGCGTACGGATTGTCGAAAAAGGACAGGTGTGGGCCCGGAGACATTGGCCGGCAAGTGATCGTGGAACCTGTGGCTCAAGTTTGTCCTCTCAAGGAAGTGGTGACGGAGCTTTTGCTTCTTGATGTTGATATTGATGCTGATGCCCCTTTTTTTTCTTATTAACCTCTGTGATTTTTTTTTAAATTTCTAACATAACGAAAAGCTTGATTTATTTTACAATTGTAAAAATTAAATCTTACATAGATGATATTAGATTTATGTATATCCAGTTTAGAGCAGAACCCATTTGGGATTGTTGTAAAAAAAAAAAAGAAATATATGCAAATATGTATTTTTTTTTTTTTATAAATTTGTTCCAATGATCAATTTTAATCTATGTTTGTAACGAAAAAGAAAATCATGCGAGTCAAGCCTAATTGCGAAATGGTTTGACTTTTGCCCTCAAAACGTCAAAGACCTTATCCGATTTAGTGGGCCGAGGTAAGTTGGGCTGATGACAAATAGGCCCAAAATTGTCATTCTGACGTGGCATGCCACGTCATCGGCATTAGTCATCAGTTGTAATTTTTGGAAATTTGTTCTTTTTTTTTTCCCTCACAAGTCCAAAGAAATTGGTTCCAAGACAGCAAGATTGTGGGTTGCAAATTAGTTTCACAGGAAATTGCTCGCACGCTTCTCATCCAAATCGGATGCTTTCATCCATAAACAAACGAAAAATCGAGTCTTTTGTATCAATCAATTGTCTTTGCGTTTCGCATTTCTTAGATTTTTAACGGAATGCTGCTTTTTGTCTTGTCTCGCGTTCTTCCGGGTCAGATCTAACCTGAGGAGGAGAATGAGCGGCCAAGAGGCGTCGTCTTCGTCTCCGGCGAGGAAGAGGAAGAAGGAGGGATTGGGTTGGATAGAGTGGTTCAGAGGATGGACTTGTGTTTTCGAGGAGTTTCTCTTCCAGAGAATCATGGCGTCTCACTTGCAGAACCCTCTTCCTCTTCCTCCTCTCAACGGCATCACCTGCATCGTCACCGGATCCACCAGTGGCATTGGCCGCGAGACTGCTAGGTTTTCCGCCTTCTCTTTCCTTTTTACCCCCCGAAAATGGTCCCGGAATCGGTTTTCTGGTGCGTCGTTTCTTCTGATTGATTCATGCTGTGGTTTTGACTGAGACCCAGTTCTGGAAATCCGCTGAATTCTGGATCTTGTATGGTTTTGTTGGCTAATTCGTTGTTTTTTTACTGAAAGAAGTAAGCTTTGTTCGGGACTTGAGTTGATGAATCTCTCAAGCTTTTAGCTTTTCTGTTCATTTGTTCAAGAATGTGGCTTTTTCTTGTGTCATAGGCAATTGGCAGAGGCTGGTGCTCATGTTGTTATGGCAGTGAGGAACACAAAGTCGGCTCAGGAGTTGATCCAGCAATGGCAGAATGAATGGTCGGGCAGGGGCCTTCCACTTAACATTGAGGTAATCAGTTTAAATAACTTTGTGTTCTTTCAGATGGATGATTTCTTGTTATTCACAGGGGGATGGCTGATGATACTATGTTTGCTTTGTCAAAGGCAACGGAACTTGATCTCCTCTCTCTGGACTCTGTTGTGAGATTTGCGGATACTTGGAACGCACGTTCAGGACCTTTGCATGTTCTGATTAACAATGCCGGCATATTTGCTATGGGAGGTTGGTTTTAGCTGTTAAGCTTTAAGTTTCGTTCCTTCTGTTAGTGAGCTTCCTGCTTTGATTTCCATCTCTATCTATCATTATACACATATTTTTTACTTGATGGACCCAATGGATATGTTTCTTTAGTATTTGTGGTAGTCTTATTTGTATTGGTTATACACAGTATGCCTTCTGTTATTGCCTTTTCCTGAACTGTTTGTCAGTATGTTTCTTTCTTTGAATTGATTGGTTGTCCAAGAGCTACATTTGCGGTAATATGCGCTACCGGAAAACTGGCTGAAATGGTTAGCATTTTGATTTTTGTAGAGCCGCAAAAGTTCTCAAAGGATGGGTATGAGCAGCACATGCAAGTGAACCATTTAGCTCCATCGCTGCTTTCACTACTTCTTTTGCCGTCACTTATCCGAGGATCCCCAAGCCGGATTATCAATGTGAATTCGGTTGTAAGTTCTATGATCAAATGAAACTGCAGGCTGCAAATTTTCAGCTCTCTAGTTTTGCATCTTTCCGGTATCGATAATGGCTTTACTTTAACTTTATTTGTGATTGTTTCTTCATGCAAGATTTCCTTATTTTTTTTGCTGGGTTTTACATTTGTAGATGCATCATATCGGTTTTGTTGATCCTGATGACATGAATCTCATTTCCGGTAGAAGAAAGTATTCGAGCCTCAAAGGATATTCGAGCACCAAGCTAGCGCAGGTTGAACATAAAGCAAGATCTTAACAATCTGAACTGTTCAGCTTGCTTCTGTTCCACTGAAGGGTTGAAATTTTCTGGTGTGCTTTCGTCTTGCAGGTTATGTTTAGTAGCATCCTTTTCAAAAGGCTACCTGTGGAATCCGGCATTAGCCTTGTATGTTTGTCTCCGGGTGCTGTCTTAACGAATGTCGTAAGTATATTCTTTCGCGTTATACGAGCTTCGTTTTCTCGGAACTTTATTGCATAAACTCTTGTGTTTTTCGGAAAATGCAGGCGAGGGATCTTCCAAGGTTCCTTCAAGCTATATATGCTGTGATACCTTACTTTATCTTTTCGCCCCAAGAAGGTTGTAGAAGCTCCATTTTCGCAGCCACTGATCCTCAGATTCCCGAGTACTGTGAAACACTGAAAGCTGATGATTGGCCTGTCTGTCCATTCATCTCTCAAGATTGCCGCCCGACGAAACCTTCTGAAGAAGCACATAACCTAGAAACTGCATACAGAGTGTGGGAAAAGACTCTAGAAATGGCCGGTCTCCCTCTCGATGCAGTGGAGAGGCTTATAGAAGGGGAAGATGTGAAATGCCAACGATGAGTAGTCGTCAGTCTTGTCACAAGGTACCCTTTTCCACGATGCAACCAAGACTATACATGTTTATTTGGAGATAAGAGTTTTTTGTGAGGTTTCTGTAGGGAATTTGCTGCAAATTCATAAAGTTTGTGACTTTTTCTTTTGAAGTTTCCCAGTTTGTAATTTTCTTTTGTTGTCTCAGTAATATTTTGATTATTGTTTTGTGGTTGGTGTGAAGATTGAAATTTATTACGTACCCATGAAATGAAATTTCTGGTTTGACGTGTGGGCATTTGGGTAAATATGACCCCTTGCTCTTGCATGTTTCTTTTTCTTTGAGATGCCCATCTGTGTGGAACTGGAACCTCTTGTTCTTGTTTCGATCTCCCTCAGTTGATTCCAAGTTCTAAGGAAGGTGGAGAATAGTGAAGTTTGAGGCCATGCTTTCCACGCTGAGGCATGTCATGGAAGGGCCATGCACGTATTCGAAGGATGTGTCTCTATTTGTCGATTCAAAAAAAGAGGGAAACAAAAGAAATTCGTCGGTCGAAAGAGCGAAGGAAAAATTAGGGCATTACACGTCGTTTGCTTCTGTGGTCTGTCGCTTTGTCGCTGAGATTTTTCTGTCGGGTGAAGCAGAAGCTCTGTAAACCAGAAAGATCCTTCCTTTTTGTCTCTGCAGATCCCTTGGATTTGATTTTTTCCTTCTTCCCTCTCATGGGTCTCCTCTGGTTCAATGGTTCTTTGGTCTGAGTTTCCCATTAACGCAGGTGTCGAATCTTGGGTTTTTGTTTTTGGACTGCGAGATTCAGATTTCGGGAAAAGAATGATGGGTGATTGTTATCAGCTCGTTCAGTCGATTGTCCTGGGCTTGATCTTCTCTTACCTTCTCGCCAAGCTGATCGCGTTTAAAACCAAAAACCTCTCAGTCACGTGCCACCGCCAAAACCCACCAGGGAGGAAGCCGGAGAACTCCGTCTCGTCGTCGGAGACGCCGATTCGCCCGTGGCGGAACCAAAAAAACCAAAAGAAAACACGTTAGGGATTTGTTTGGATGGTCGTAAATGAAAAGTGATCTGGACCGTTTATTGTTTTTTCGATCTTCGGACCAGATGATGATTCCACACCGTACACGCGATGTACGATATAATCTCTCAGGTGGAAAATGCCCAAAAAAGTAATTAATGATTCCTGCAGAAATAATGTTATCAATTAAAATATTGATATTTTCGTAATTAAAAATTAGGACATAAATTTATGTTGTTATCTATTACAGCTTCACATCCGATTCTTCTTTCCCCGCTCTCTCTATCTCCCTTCCCTTTTTCGCTGGAACTGCTCTCTCTCTCCAAGGCTTTCTAGGGTTTCTCTATCTGTTCCCGTTTTCCGCCTAATCCGATCGCCGGCTCCGTGATTCTTCCACAACCTCTTTGTACTCAAGGTATTTTCTTTACTTCCCCCATCGGAAATGTTCGAATTGCATCCTTTCTCCGGCTCCCTAGCTCCCTAATCCCGTTTTCTGATTCGATCTCGAATCGCTCAATCGTCGTTTCCTACTTTCCCTTTGCTTTATCCGAAATTTTGGGATTCGATTTCGTTTGCCCGTCGAATTTTCGGGTGGATTCTATTTGTTATGGGAATCAGTTCTTTTCTTCGTATACTGTTGAATTCGATCCGATTTCATCCCTTGTTCTATGTATTGTATCTGGTGTACCTGGATCTGTGGTTCTCTCGATCTTAATCGAATTTTATAGTCTTCGAAAAGTATTGCTCAATTGTTAAATGTGTTGTTGAGTTACCGGGTTGTACGGACTCCATTGGTTCTTAGACATTTAAGATTAGCTTTGGTTGTTTGTTGGAGAAATCGGTGAGCGTGTTAAATGAAGATTATAAAATGGATCTCAGTGTTTTGTTGGTACTTCTTTCACCTGAAGTTGTCGTGATGTCAAGTGTGCTGGTTCTGCAACTGTTATCATCTTAGTTTTGGTTTTTGCAATCCGTCTGGGTAGTGCTGTTGTGGATCTAGAATTCATTTTGGCTTATTATCTGACCTTCATAGTGTAGTTCCATGATTTTTTTTTTATAAATCCATGTTTTTTTTGGGTGGATATGTTTCTATTGTTTACTAGATCGGTTATGTGTGTATGGAACCTTGTTGTTCTGGGAATTTCGAAATATAGAGTGATTTATAATTGGATATGTGATTGGTATGTCGTTTATCGTATGCATATTAATTCGGGACAAGAAGGAAGCTTTTTCTGTTAGCCAAATCTGATTTAGAATGCTCAAATTTGCAGGTAAAGGTATGGCATTGGAAGTTACCCAGTTGCTCTTAAATGCGCAGTCAATTGACGGAACTGTTCGTAAGCATGCCGAAGAAAGTCTCAAGCAATTTCAGGAGCAAAACCTTGCAGGGTTCTTGTTGTCACTTGCTGGGGAACTGGCAAACGATGAGAAGCCAATTGAGAGCCGAAAATTAGCTGGTTTGGTTCTAAAAAATGCTCTTGATGCAAAGGAACAACACAGAAAATATGAGCTTGCCCAAAGATGGCTGTCTCTAGACACAACAACTAAGTCTCAGATCAAAACATTCTTGTTGAAGACACTTTCCTCTTCTGTACCTGATGCACGTTCAACTGCATCTCAGGTGATTGCTAAGGTTGCGGGTATTGAGTTGCCGCTGAAGCAGTGGCCTGAGTTAATAGTATCTCTTCTCTCGAACATTCATCAGTTGCCGGCTAATGTCAAGCAAGCCACTTTAGAGACTCTTGGATACTTGTGTGAAGAAGTTTCTCCTGATGTTGTAGATCAGGATCATGTAAATAAGATACTCACCGCTGTGGTTCAGGGTATGAATGCTTCAGAAGGAAACAATGATGTCAGACTTGCTGCAACACGGGCTTTATACATGGCTTTGGGATTTGCTCAGGCAAATTTCAACAATGACATGGAGCGTGATTACATCATGAGAGTTGTGTGCGAAGCTACACTGTCTCCGGAGGTGAAAATCAGACAGGCTGCGTTTGAATGTTTAGTTTCCATAGCTTCAACATACTATGAGAAGTTGGCTCCTTACATGCAAGATATATTTAACATTACCGCGAAGGCTGTTAGAGAAGATGAGGAATCTGTGGCTCTGCAAGCTATTGAGTTTTGGAGTTCGATTTGTGACGAGGAGATTGATATCTTGGAAGAATATGGAGGTGATTTCACTGGGGATTCTGATGTTCCATGCTTTTACTTTACTAAGCAGGCTCTCCCTGCTCTTGTGCCTTTATTGTTGGAAACACTTCTTAAGCAAGAGGAAGATCAGGATCTGGATGAAGGGGCTTGGAACATAGCGATGGCTGGTGGGACATGTTTGGGACTGGTTGCAAGGACGGTTGGAGATGATATTGTGCCACTTGTCATGCCATTCATTGAAGAGAACATATCTAAGCCAGACTGGAGACAGCGAGAAGCTGCAACTTATGCTTTCGGCTCCATTTTGGAGGGTCCTTCTGCAGATAAATTAATGACAATTGTTAACGCCGCGTTAACATTTATGCTTAGTGCTTTAACGACTGATCCAAACAACCATGTGAAAGACACCACCGCTTGGACCCTTGGCCGGATATTTGAGTTCCTTCATGGTTCAGTTATTGATACACCAATAATTACCCAAGCAAACTGTCAACAGATCATTACTGTGCTACTTCAGAGCATGAAAGATGCTCCGAATGTTGCTGAGAAGGCTTGTGGAGCTCTGTATTTCCTTGCTCAAGGCTATGAGGATGTTGGCCCAAATTCTCCTTTAACACCCTTCTTCCAGGAAATTGTTCAGTCCCTTCTAGCTGCTACACACAGAGAAGATGCGACAGAGTCTCGCCTTAGGACAGCCGCGTATGAGGCACTGAATGAAGTTGTCAGGTGTTCAACTGATGAAACATCAACCATGGTTCTGCAGTTAGTACCTATTATAATGATGGAGCTTCACAAGACTTTGGAAGGCGAGAAGCTTTCATCCGATGAGAGAGAGAAGCAGAATGAGCTGCAGGGCCTTTTATGTGGATGTTTGCAGGTCATAATACAGAAACTGGGATCATCTGAACCAACCAAGTATGCCTTCATGCAGTATGCAGATCAAATGATGGGACTGTTCTTGAGGGTGTTTGGTTACAGAAATGCAACTGCGCATGAGGAAGCCATGCTTGCAATTGGGGCTCTTGCCTATGCAGCAGGTCCTGATTTTGCTAAATACATGCCTGAGTTATACAAGTACTTGGAATTGGGTCTACAAAATTTCGAGGAGTACCAAGTTTGTGCTGTTACTATTGGTGTTGTGGGTGATGTCTGCAGAGCGCTGGAGGACAAAATATTGCCTTACTGTGACGGGATCATGACGCAACTTCTCAAGGATTTGTCAAGCAACCAGTTGCACCGATCAGTAAAGCCACCGATATTTTCCTGTTTCGGTGACATAGCACTGGCAATTGGGGAGAACTTTGAGAAATACCTGATGTATGCAATGCCCATGCTTCAGAGTGCAGCTGAGTTATCTGCTCACACATCTGGAGCTGATGATGAAATGACAGAGTACACAAACTCTTTGAGAAATGGAATTCTCGAGGCTTACTCTGGCATCTTTCAAGGTTTCAAGAACTCTCCGAAAACCCAGTTGCTGATTCCTTATGCACCCCATATCCTCCAATTTCTGGACAGTATATATATGGAGAAAGACATGTGAGTTTGTTGTTGCTTGCTGTTGTCGCATATTTGATCGATGTGTGCTTGCAAATGTTTTTAGATCAATGTTAACATTGTATTTTGACTGACAGGGATGAGTTGGTGATGAAGACTGCGATTGGGGTCCTAGGAGATTTAGCCGATACACTAGGGAGTCATGTGGGTGCGTTGATACAGCAGTCTGTGTCGAGTAAAGAGTTCTTAAACGAATGTCTGTCTTCTGAGGACCACATGATTAAAGAAGCAGCAGAATGGGCCAAGCATGCCATTGGCCGTGCCATTTCCGTTTGAGGCTGAAAAAAAAATCCCTTTAGTTTCCGCTATTTAGAAGTCTGAATGCATCTGGGGTGTGTCTGAGTTGAGTTGAGTTGAGTTTGGTCGGGGTCGGGTACTGCATCAGTCTTGAGTAAAACCAGCATCTTCACTGTAGTTGGGTCAGCGTCAATGGTTCAGATGTCGTTTTTTCATCGAGGAGGAGGTAAGCCGGGGTATGTATTAGCGGGTAAAGGCAGTCCAAAGGAGTAGAGAACGACGTCATTCTCAGTCTTAAGAGAAGAATCTCGAGTCAGTGGTTGGGGGAGGGGAAGAGAGATTAGATTAGTAGTTTTGAGTAAATAATGCATGTCGGGAGGTGTCCGGTTCGTTTGCTGGGTATTCGGACAAGGTTAAAAAAACAGGATTTTGCTGTTGTCTGTCATGTCTTTATTTTTATGTTCTTTCACCCCCCCGAGAGTGGGGGGAGGTCGGTTTTGATAGTCACTGCATTTTTGTAAGACATTCCCTTCTTGATTTATTTTGTTTGTTGTCTTTTTTTTCTTTTGGGATTATTTGGTCAAGTCTCAAATCTGAATCTGCACCTGCGGGTAGTGTCATGAAGCATTTGTCATCTTTGGGGGTCTGTATGTTGATCAGCATATTCTCTCTCTCTCTTTTCCCTTATTATAGTTTTTCACATGTCTGTATACTTTCTGTACTGCACTCAGTTACATGTGGGGTTCGTTTGTTCATCTTTTGTTTTTTAGGTTCTCAAAAGTCAAATGTCACATATCATATTTGCATCCATAGAAAGGAAAAAAGTTGCTTTTGTTACCCTGTTTTTCTCCCTATTTCAGGTCCATTTTATTCCATATATATATATGTATGGAATATGACCCTCGAGTCATCTCTTTGGCAAAATGTGGTTATAGTCATATGGGTCAAAAGGGTTCCATGATTATAGACATAAGAGCAGAGGATAGGACACAAGTCATTTGTCCTCAAACATCAACAGGTTGGAAGATGAAGAGGTTACTGAATGGAGTGATTGATATTCCTTTTTATCATCTTATCTTTGAGGGGCCGGCATTTTTTTTATGAACTCTTTCTACTACCTTTGGTAACATAAGTAGCAACAAAGGCTTCAGACAGGCGACAGAAGATGGCCTTGTGGTTGCTGAATGAAAGAGTTATTTGTTATGTTGGGGAGATGGATTGGATGATGTGTTTGTTTTGGAGGTATTATTGGTTTTAAAGATTTTATTACTACATTAAAGTAATCAATGCTTTAGTTATATTTTTTATTTTATAATCTAAAAGTTTGTCCGATTATATCTCTTAGAGGAGAAAAGTCTATATAAATGTCCCTTTTCAAGTGAGGATTCGAATCCGGATTGAGAAAGTCTTTATCGACAGTGGCAGACTGATAATCATTTATAACCAGGGGCATAATATATAATCGGAATATTGTACGGACAAAGTTAATTTCATTAGGAGGCATTTAACGATTTTTATTAAAAAAATTATATAATTTACAAAGAAATTAAACCTTTTTTAATTTAACAGTGGAGGCATATGCCCTATTACTTTGTACGTGGGTCCGCCCATGTTTATCGATTGAACCATTCAATCTTAGATTTTTTTAGTTATATGTTTTGACTACACATATTTGCATGCACATCTAATAACTCGAGCACCTTTTAATTTAAACATTTCAACAATTTAATATTGAAAATTATGGAAAGTTTATGTAATATTAGAGTTTATATTGATTTAAATGTCGATACGTATTTAACTATGATAACAGATGTTATATTACTTATTTATATTTACCCGATAATCGAATTATTGTGGTTTGATTGGAATTCAAAAACAATGAATTTGTGATGCATCAAAATTATCTGTATACGGATATATAAATTTGGCAAATAATCATCACTTGAATGATATAGAATTTTATGATATTAAAAAGATAGAATGAAATGATCCAAGATGAATTATATATCAGAGGCACTAAAAAAAAGAATGGAGATCAGATATTCTACTTTTTAGGAGGATATTTTCTTGGACTTTTCTAATCTTCTAAAAATATAATTAGATCGAAAATTCGATAAATTTTTGAATTATTTAAAATAAATTATGCAATGTATATCCATTCATAATTGAGTTATGGTTATCTATGGTATTCATCAAAACCATATATATATATATATAATATACCTATTTTGTTCTGATGAATACATTCTTTATTATTATTATTATTATTATTATTATTATTATTATTATTATTATTATTATTATTATTTGTTCTACTCGTTAAACCCGCTTTTTGGGACAACGAGAATTCCCCCTCCCAAAAAAGAAAAGAAAAGCAATTACTGTTAATTTATTTATTTTTAATTAATCAATAATTGCCGACACATTTGTCTCGTCATTACCCAATTTACCCTTATTATTTGTTTTTCCATGAAATTAAGAAAGAGTTATAATAAAATATGAAATTCCAAGTACTTCAAACATTTTAATAATAATAAAAAAAATTGAGGTAGTGGTCTCTGAGTAAATGGCTGACCGAGTCAATTGCAGGACACTCACTCACTCTGTCTCTGTCTCCATCTCAGTTGACTTACATGAAGCTTTTGTGTGAACATAGCACAAATGGAAGTATCTTTGCCATTTCCTCTAACCCTTTCAAGTATAAATAAAGTGGATATATAATTTTTTTTTTAAAAATGTAAAGTAAATCATATTAATGCAAGTTTCGGGTTTTCTTTATATATATCTAATTTAGATTTAAAAAAACGGATTTACACATGAATGGTACAACAAAACCATTAAGGCAAAGAGGTATATTGTTTTAGGAAATGAATATATATATATATATATATATATATATATATGTATATATAATGGGCTTACATCAAATGAAAATTACACTGTGATAGTTCAATTTTCGTGAAATTAAATTCAAAGTAACGAATGATTCAAGACTTGTTTTCTGCCCTTTGGTTCTAAACTGTTTATTTTTTTAAGATATTTTTAATAATCATTTTAATGGAACAAAACTATTAAGAATGGCAATTACCTATATTAAAAGTGACAGAATTTTGCGTCGGGAAAAAATGAAACATAAACAACGCAAATTCGACACAATGGATATATATATATATATATATATTCGTTATTTATTTTTAGGTAATTTATAAAGATTCAGAAACGGAACAGATTTGGTTTAAAATAATTACAACCAAAAAATTATTATTATTTTTAAATCGCGTTGTAAATGTGACGAAATTTATAGAACATAATGAAAAGAAGTTTATTTGATTGCCATTAAAAAAAAAAAGGTGTGAGAGGATGTGGTGGGAGTTTTCCACTCCACCTTATTGATTACGATTCACAAAAGAAGAATATAGTGGAATGTGATGGGGTGGAGAGAAAAGGAGAGATTCAACCAAATCCTTTTTAATGAACTAATCTTAGGATGGATTTTATTCTGATTTAAAAAAAAAAATTAAAAGTGAAAATATAGTGGAATTGGAATTTGAATCTAGCATCTTAAATTAGTCAACTTTCATATTTTTCATATTTTCAATTTTCTGTTGTAACTCATATTTTCTATCATTCCATTCATTTTGTTAGCTGTTTCTTAATAATTAAAGTTTTAACATTTTTTTAAATTTTAAAAAAAAAATGTTAAAAAAGGTTATATAATTTTTTAATAGTCGAAATATAATTAATATTTTAAATCTTGATGATTAAAACTGCGTTGTTATTAATAGTTTATGGGAATTCGATAGTTTTGATTAATAAAAGTGCCATTATTTTTAAAAATAATTAGAAAATCTAAAATTACGTCTACTTAATAACAAAAACTATGTTCTATAACATCAACGATTAAGAATAACTAAGTACAAATTTAGGGCAAGGGGGATATAGCGAGGCTCTTAGCTAAAAGAGTCTAAGAGAACGACCTCCACATTTGACCCAACAAAATCAAGCTTTGGGCCAAATGGAAAAGTTTCCAAATTTGCTGCTTGAGTTTTTATATATATATATATATATATATATATCAAGATGCAAATTTAAGAGGAGCAATTGGGGTATTTTTTTACACAAAAGTTTTGAAGAGTATTATTGTATATATACATACACTTTTTTAAAAAAATTATTGGGTACCCATAACATTTATTTAGCTCCTTAAGCCAAATATAATTGTACTTTGGGTTATAAATATCATGATCAGTACGAGCAAAGGCATATAATCATAAATACGAGTTTGGTATGGTTCCATCATACTTTACAATGGACCCATTTCCAACAACAAAAATATATAATTATTCAATTAATTATAATCAAGAAACATTTTTAGCTGTCTCCTCTGAATATAACATTAACTTCGTCATTATGATCCTCACATTCTTTTCATATATATATATATGATATCACTAATATGGTATTAGTTTGACTAATGTTCACATGTGGTGCACTACATAAACCATGGACCAAAACACGAGGATGGTGAAAACAATGGGCTCAAGAGTAATTTGAAAAGTTACCACAGTTGATGGAAAAATAATCGTTTAATCAGTTCTATTATACTTCCAAGAAACTATACCCATTTTAATTTCGAATTGGAAAATCAAATCTTTTTTTCCTTTCTACAATAGATATAATATATAATTGGTATTAGCTAGTGTTTTCAGCTTAAACACTATATTATTTTTTGAATATGGAAAAAAAAATATGTGAATTGATATTTTTGTATTTGTCTTAGCTTTATAAGGAAAAGAAACATAAAAAAAAGGTATGTTTTGAAAATTGTGGTCATGCAATGCAACTGCAAGCAACTTCATTATAGGTTTTGATGATGATCTTTTGTCCATACGCATGCATACCCATGATTCATTGAATCGTTCAGTTGACTTTTGTTCTTCCTCTTCTTTTTTAGGGGTTTGCGGGTAAATGAGTGATTGCCATCATCATCATCATCATCATCATCATCATCATCATCATCATCATCATCATCATTCATTTTGTTAGTGTGTTATTCCAACAGTTTGATGTTACCCTGCACTGCACTACTGTATTCAACTTTTATATTGGTTCTTAGTACGACAAATACTCGTCTCAAAATCGATATGACTCATAAAAAAAAACCATCTTTTACACGCTCTCTTGGCTATACATACATACACACACACATATATATATATATGAAAAGTTATAAACATAGACTAATGGGTTATCTTATCATCATCATCATCATCATCAAGGAGGGCCAATAGTTTCCATCACATTACATGAGAGAGAATATAAAACGGTACGCTACTGCCCTCTTCTCGTCTCAACCGAAGTTTCCTTTAAGATTCCCCAAAGCGAAGAGTGAGGTATATACAATCATCATCAAAGCCCTTCACTATGCCTCTTAGGACCAAACCTCTCTTCCTTCTTCTTCCTCTCATTCTCATCTCTCTCTCTCCTTCCAAAGGTATATATAAAGTTAACATTTTTCTTCCTTCATGCATTTCAATTATCGCATTGTGCATCCAAAATGCTCGAGAATTAGTCTATGATTTGATAATGAATGCTCCTTTGTATAGGAATGCTCATCAAACACCCGAGTGAGCATGGAGGCGAGATACTCTACAAGGTATGTATATATAAGCTCAATATATATATATGTGTGTATATATATACACACACACACTGATCCTATGAACTTTTTAAAAACATGGATTTTTATTTGGTCAGATTGAGAAAGTGGAAATGAAGATGAATAATAGGAAGCTGATGTTGGAGTCGACGCTTGACTACGACGACGCAGGACCCAATCCCAAACACGACCCTAGAAGGAAGCCCGGAGGCAAGGCCTGATACATTCTCTCTCTTATATATATATATATATATAAGCATGCGTGACATGCAACTTAAATCTATGCATTATTAATATATAATATATATGTATATCTTTTTTTTCCTTGATGAGGACGAGATCAACGTACCATCCCTTTAAGAACGTGTTCGTGCAGGGGATGGTTGATGACAAGCATGCCCTATGTTTGTTATTAAGTTATATAGTTATACTTTATGATATGATATGAAGGGTTTCTTTTCTTGTGTTCGTGGGACTCTATGGATATGTTAAATAAAGACATTATGGGTGTTTTCTTATAAATGGTGAAAGGTGTTACATATATATCGTTGAAAATCTTGAAATTATGTGGAGGATTATATACCTAGTTTAGTCATAGGGAACACGTCTAATTGGATTTGGTGTCTCCCATTAATTTTTGGCAGAGTTTTTTTAAAATAAAATAAAAAAAAAATTGGTTATAAGATCGAACTTGGTTTTGTCCTGTCCACTTGTACGGTGGAAGTGGATGTACATCATCATGTGTCATACACTATCTTCAATTTGAAAAATCATATCGCAGTGCTAATAAGTGGTTTCAAGTTTGCTCCGACACCCGTCCCAATTCTATCTGAAAATATCGGATTTCGGATTTAAATATATTGATTCGAAAAAACTTAGACTTTTGGGTTAGATTCAAATCGAATTTCTTATTGGTTTGAAAACCCGGTTTTTTTTAAATAATAAAAAGTTTGCAAAGAAAAATTTGAACGGTAAGACCAATCCAGCCTAACCCAAACAAATCTATAAGGTTGAGTTTTGGTTTTGGTTATTTAAATAAAAAAATTGGATCGGGTCCAACCCAAACCCGAAACCTTGGACCGAATATGAGTTTGGACCAGGTCAGCTCGATTGACATTCCTAATAGTAATATATGGCCTAGTTATACCAAAAACAAAAAAAAAAACTTATCTATACGCATCAAGTCTCAAGTAATTTTTATGAATATATATAATTTTTAAATTTTCATTTTTATTTTTATTTTGTATTAATTAATATTATTAAATATTAGGGATTGATGATGCGGCAGATGACTAGGATGCAATGTCAGCATTAAATAATATATTTTTTCGTTCAGGGTTTTATTTGCCAATTTTTAAAAATATAGAGTTTTAATTGCCAATTTTTAAAAGTATAATATTTTTTTGGATAAAAAAAAGTATAGGGTTTAAATTGCGACAAGAGAAAAGTACAGGGTTTTAAATGGAATTATCCCTTTTAATTTTTATCCTAATTATTGAAGTTTTTAGATTTTTTTATAATTTTATTTATTTAAATAGATATTTTGAAATTTATATAGGATTAATATTTATTTAAAAAATATATATCATAACCGAACCGAACCGATCTAAAACCGAACCGAATAAACCAAAAAATATAACCGTTTGGTTATAATTTTATTATGCAAAAACCGAGTCAAACCGAACCGAAACCGAACTGAACCGAACCAATTAAATCTATATAACCGTTTGGGTATGATTTTTTTATAACCGAAATAACCGAACCCGAAATAACCGGACCGAAAACCGAAATGGTCACCCCTAGTCTCAAGTAATGTAGAAATTTACCCAAAATCTATTGCATCGCTTTCATAAGATTGGACTGACCAAACGAACTTCCATTCATTTATGGCAAAAGCCGATCCAAATTATGAGGTGCCACTACTTTTTTACTTTTTAAAAAACATTAAATTCAATTCTACACTTTTGAAACGATTTAAAAACAAAACTTCGCAACATAATGATTTTTGGAAATCAAATTTTAATTTAGAAGCTAAAGAGCTGCAATATTTTTTTTGGAAATCATGTAGTTTATGTGTTAATATACGATTTCCCCTAATATCTTTATGTCAAGACATATATTATTCACATTCCAAATACATGTCACGGAATCTTACAATTTAATTATCATCCGACAGAGAGTTACGTACTAAAAAGACACAGAGAGCCGACTCACCGTACCGAAGCTTCAAGGCTCCAAATGCAGTCTTTCTCAAACCGGTTTGGCCGACCAGAAAACAGATCGCAAACTTGTAACTAAACCGAGTGACAAACTCAAAACCGGACAAAACCGGCCCGGTTAACCTGGACGGACGGACATGTTGATCAAATTAAATAACAAAATGAAGGGGGTATGATATGAAAACAAGTGAACTTCCAGCACCTAAATTGGCCATGGCTACGACTGAAACAAGAACCATCTCGGAGAGGACATGAGGTCGAAAGCTCATTTGCCACGGATTTTGACTTTGAGAGTCCATTGAATGCTACCCTCGGGCAAAGGGATAGACTTGGAGAAACGCAGAGGCACCTCGTACTCTCCAAAAGACGTCAAAGGAGATGTCAGATGAACGTTCTCCGGTTCAATCTTCACGCACAGCTGCCTCGCCACCTACACAAATAAGCATTTTTCACTTCTGCTCTGTTCCTATTACCATTACTCACCCGGGAATCCCGTGTATAATTATCAAAGATGTTATATTACCTCTGCAACTATCTCTTCCTTTGTCACAGGAGTTCTTACATCTGGCTTGTCATCTTTTGAAGAGCGGTTTCGGAACTTTTCCTTGTCAACCAACCTCCTGAGTACCTGTCTGATCTCAAGTCCTTTAAAGTTTCCAGTGAAGCAAAAGGACAAGAACATTGCCTATTGGGAGTTAACTTAAATACCAGGTTGGCATTAGCAAGACGCTTAGCAGCCTTTTCATACTCCTTTGTCGTGTCTTCAGTGGTTTTCTGGACCACCTTAACCTCCTCACCTTCTTCGCGTTTGTAAATCTAATCAGAAATCAGGAAAAGAATCAAACTTTGGAAGAAACCCATCTCAAAATATCAAATGCAACACTGTAAAAACATTTGTTTTGGTTTTGGAACGATCAGCTTGATGCCGTAATCAAAACCAAACCCCCAACAGGAAGAAGAAGAAAGAGAATCAACCAGAAAATACGTATAATGCTATAAACTCCTACGGTAACCGACCCACAAAAACAAATCAAAATCAGCAAAAATTGAAAGAAGGTACAAATTCCAAGCTCAAGTACCTTGCGTTGCTCTCGGATGAGATGAGAAAACTTGTCTATGTTAGGGACAGCCAGGAGTTTGGGCATGAGGTGGTTGCGGAAGTGACCCGGAGCCACCTTCACTGTCTCGCCGGCTTTCCCAAGCTTTTCTATGTTCTGCAAAGGGACCCATTAAACCAAATCCAAAACTAAATCAACACACGAAGAGAAGCAGCAAAACGAATCCACATGAAACACTTCTGGATAGAACAGACATCGTTAATGATTCCCATTCATCAATCTAAACTGTAACTTTCTGGATCAGAAGACTGACCGTCGTGAGAATAACCTCCAATCTTCTGTATCGAACGCCTTGGCATGCGAAAAGTAGCGGATGGTGCATCATCGTATTGTCAGATTTCTGGAAGCTCGTTCCTCTTGCGGCTATGTGGCTAATCACGTTTCGGCTTTGCGAAACACGGGCCATTGTTTCGACGATCCTGGGACACCAAATAAGAGAATCCAAGCAAAATTACCCACACGAGCAATCGCCTCCTCCAGCATCAGAAACAATGATCGAAACTACCCATTTTCTGAATCCGAGAACCAATGAAAAAAGCTAACCGAGAACCGTATCTGATGAAACTGCATAACCTACGCACTTCTTACACAACAAAATCTCAAAAACTTGGGTACGAAGAGCTTCAAATTACCTCTTTCGATCGAATCAACCCTTTCTTCCCAGGTTGCCTGAGAGAATTACTGATTGTTTTTTTTTTTTCTGGGAAAAATGAATCGGCGACTACTGGAGCTCATGGAAACAAAACGAGAAGGGTTTAAGTGGGGAATATAGCAAAAATGCCCTTAAAATGCTACCCATACTTCATAGCATACCTTCCAAAAAATAAATCTAAAAAAAATAAAAGATAAAATGATCAAAGTACATGTATATCCCTCAATTTTAAATAAAAGACGAAAAGGGACATACTTTTCCAATTAAAAAATGATTAACTTTTTAAGAATTAAAAAATAAACATTCTCTCTCTCCCTCGGTAAACTCCCACTCTCTCTTGCAACTTCATCTCTCTCTCTTGCAGAAAACTCTCTCTCTCTCCACTCTCTCTCTCTCCCTCGGTAAACTCCCACTCTCTCTTGCAACCCTATCTCTCTCTCTTGCAGCATTTCGAAAACTCTCTCTCTTGCGCTATTTCTCTCTTTCGATTTTCAGAAACTGAGACCATTTTCCTTGCAATTTCGGTATCTCTCTTGCGATTTGTGTGAAAAATCAAACACTCATGGATCCAAGAACACATGTGTCTTCTGCTTCGTCTTCGTCTGCATCTCAGACTGGTTCATCTTCGTCATCGTTGGACAAAGATCTCCCATTAGAAACGGTAAGTTTTTTTGCATATTCTTCTCCGTTTTTTTCTTCTGTGACCTGATCCTGGAGTAAAATCATTAAACTTATTGGATGGTTTGAGATTACAAAATAGGAATTTAGAGTTTAGGAATTTCGAAATTGAAAATTAGATTTTTGGGATTTCTGAATATAAAGTTAAGGTTTTTTTTGTTTTGAAAAATATAATTGGGGTTTTAGGAATTCGAAATAGAAAGTTAGAGTGTGGGTGTGGGATTTCGGAATACCTTGGAAAGTTTAATAATTTCCTAAGGTGCAAGTTCATGTGAGTCACAGGTCACATGCATGAGTCACAGGAATTTATATGGTAATAGTATAGTATAACTCACAACATCGTACACGGATCACACGGGTCACAGGTCACATGGGTCATATCAGTCACGGGTCCTAGATCCTAGGTCACAAAGATCACAATGACGAACAATTATTTTATTTTGCAGCTTCTATTTATCTACAAATTCGAAGACATTCAGTTTTTTCGAAGATCAATACGAAGTGTTATCCCTATGAGACGCTGAAGACGCTTAAAGAAGTACTAACATAGGATGAATAGATGTACTTCGAGAAAGAATCACAGTTCTAATATCTATTTCACGCGCAATGGGAACCACAGTTAAAGATGACGCATGCGGAAGTTCTTATTAACCGCTCTGTTAAAGCGAAAGACGAGAATGAGTTGTGGTTCGTGTTCAATGGTGTGTCCGTGAGGTACTCGATCATTGAGCACGCACTTATATCTGGTTTGAACAAGGGAGCATAATTCATGTCGATATGCGATGAGACCATACCATTGATCCGTGAAAAATTGGTTATTGATGTATTTTGTAATGGTAAAATTGTGTACAACTAACCCGTTATTTATTGTGAATTCTTTCGTAGTTTGTAAACTCAGTTTTTGTAAACTCTTTCGTATTTTGGATTTTACTTCTACTTTTGCTTGGAAAAGAGAAAGAAAAAAACATAAGTCCAATGGGTCACACGGGTCACATGAGTCACATGAGTCACGGGTCACACAGGTCACACGGGTCATATGGGTCACGAGTGAGTCACATGGGTCACATGGGTCACATAGGTCAAATTTATCGAATTAGTGATTTGGCATAGTTATGCAGTGATTAATCATGGATTTTAACATCAATAACAACTTTAAAATCATGTTCGTTTCAATTTTCATATTCAAGTCACTCATGCAAATGTATTTCATAAGTGATACTAGTGTTTCATGACAACTTATGAACAAATTGTACTAATGTTCATACAACTCTTACTTATGTTAACGAATTTAACTTG